ATCCGCTTGCTGTACGTGCAGCTCAGATCTGAAGGGCTACCACTACAACGTGTTCATAGTGATCGTGCACGTGAACTTAGGGGAGAAGGAATCAGAAAATGGCTGTTGGAACGGGACGTGTACCCAACCACTGGAGAGGCACAAGTGCCTCAGACAAATGGCAAGGCGGAGCAGGTCGTGAAGCAGTTGAAACGGCGTGCAAGGACCTTGTTACAGTGTTCGGGACTCCCTACGTCGTGCTGGCCATTGGCTATGGGACATGCAGCTTGGGCACAGAGGGAATGCGCACTTGAAAGGGCGAGCTCGGTGATTCCTTTTGGGGCCCATGTGAACATCAAGGCCAAGGTCTTTGGACAGGGAGGAAAGTTCGACTTGAACAACAAGTGGGACAGCGGATGTTTCGTTGGGCCCTCAACCGAGCTCCGTGGCGGCTTTGTGGTAAGAGACAAGAACGGGAGGTACTTGACTACAATGCACATGAAAACCAATGTTGTGGACGTTGATGAAGTGGTCAAACCTGATGAAGCAGAAGCTGTTTTACCAATGCCGTCGCGACGAGTAAGAAAGAAAACCGTGCTATACGAAGTACCGGAAGATGAAGTCCACCTACCAACCAGAGATTCAGCACCGGAAGGCTCAATGCTGGGTCCGACAGGGAAGTTCGAAGTACCTGTAGGTGAAGTTCACCCACCAACGAGAGATTCACCGGAAGGCACGATGCTGGGTCCATTAGGGGAAGCAGTAGTACCCGAACCGTTGGATGCGTCTGGTCTGGGTGTTCGAGAAGATCTAGAACCACCTCATCGGAGGGTCACTGGAAAGACTCGTTTGGCAGCGATGCTTCCTCTTTCAGACTTGGAGCGTGAGATAGAGGACCTTGCTTTGAGCTTCGACTTGGACGAAAGGTACGATGAGGCCGCCGTCTTGCAGATATTTGAGATGTTGGAAGGGACAAGGCCACAAACCTCAAAGGCAGGGATCCGGAAGTCAAAAACCCCATCTACATCCTGGTCTACTGGCATGTTCACACATGGTGGAGTTTCCGGCCTCAGGACAACGGCAAGAAGAATGCCTACTACCACAAGTTTCTTGGTGAAGGCCGCGAAGGAGATCACAGGGAATGATTGTTTCGGAGTGGTCGCTATCACAAGGGGCGCGAGCATGAAAGTCCATCGAGACTCCCACAACTGTCCCTCAACCCAAAATACATTGGCTGCGCTAACGGAGTTTCAAGGTGGCGGAGTTTGGATTCAAGAAGAAGGCGGAGGGGAATCTCGAGAAGTTTCGCCTGGTCGTTGGGTTGATGGGAAGGTCCATGAACTACATCCAGGAGAGCCTCTGTTCTTCAACCCGAGAGCGTGGCATGAGACACAAGATTATTCAGGTGACAGGATCGTGATCATGACTTACACCCCGAGGCTGTCGAAGCTAACTCCAGAAGGACGCCGAGATCTAGAAGATTTGGGTTTCAGAGTTCCAGATTGGAATTTTTCCAGACCTGCTCCAAGGCTCCAGCCGTTGATCATGAAGCAGGAGTACATTATTGATCGAGATGGATCGTTGGAGTCTTTTCCGGTGAGCCAAGAAGGGGAAATGGAACACATGGAGATCGATGGCGTGATGTTGCGGTTGAATGAGATCCAGCAAACAATGATGGACAACATGTTGGACAGATCCTCTTTCCTACAGGATCTACTTGAGGAGGAGGAGGAACGCTTGAAGGATATCCACGATGCTCAACATGAGTGCCTTCAAGATGTGAAACAGGTTCATGGTGAGATTATGCAGATGTTGGACGCTATGGTAGCGAAGATTCAACGTGAGCGAAGGGTCCAAGATGAAGTTTTCCTCAAGGCGGCGAATGTGCAGACGGACCACCAGGACTATGAGAAGCTCCTTGAGGATTTAGAAGGGGACTTACAAGTGACTCATACAGTGCCCCTACAGCAAGTGAAGCCAGTGGCGGAAAAATGGAAGAGTGCCATCGAGAAGGAGCTGAGCAACCTGTTTGAGTCCACTGGGACGCTCAAGCGGATCAAGTTGTCAGAGGCTCGCCAGTTGGAGGCGCAAGGAAGGCTCAAGCTTGTGCCGAGCAAAGGGGTCTACACTCTTAAACCCCCTTCATCCAAGGGTGGTGGGTTTCGAAGAAAGTACAGACTTGTCCTATGTGGAAACCACGTGACACCTTCTGATGATCAAGGCTCTCTCTACGCGGGCGGTGTGGGCGCTGAATCACTACGGGCGCTACTTGCGGCAACCTCACCTCGAGGATGGCGTGGGGCAACCACTGATATAACAGCGGCTTTCCTTCAGGCCATATGGCCAGAGTCGATGCCAATGTACGCGGTGCTACCCCCAAAGCTGCTACAAGAACTTCACTACGCTGAGGATGGAGAGGCATGGCTGGTTTTGAGACCACTGTATGGACTACGTGAATCACCCTCGATCTGGTCCTCTCACAGGAATGATCGACTTCGAACCCTTGATGTGCCCCATAATGGAGGACGACTTTATCTACAACAATCAAAGGCCGATGCAGAGCTCTGGTTCGTGATGTTTCAGAGTAAGGATGAGGCCCCCAGGTTAGTGGGCTTGGTTGTGACCTACGTCGATGACATCTTCTACATTGGTCCTGTGAAGATTGTGGAAAAGATCCATGGTTGGGTGAGTGCCGAATGGCCCTGCTCAGGGCTTGAGTGGGCGAGTGCCCCTGAAGGCATTCGATACCTTGGGATGGAGGTGTATCAAAGAGAGTCTGGAGAGTATGAGGTGACGCAGCAAGGCTACATCATGGACCTGATTCGAGCGCACGATCTACTACAGGCGCCGCAGACGCTACTACCATGCCCGAAGGAGTGGATCACAGATGACGTGGACCCAGAGCCAGAGAACTTCACGGAGGGAGACCTACGTTTTGCTCAGAGGCTGATCGGAGAACAGCTATGGCTTGCTATGAGGTGCAGACCGGACATTCACTTCATCGTCAGCTACATGTCGAGTTGGGTGAGCAAACATCCAATTCGCATAAGCAGGATTGCAATGCGTGTGCTCTCCTACTTGCACAAGACGGCCGGGATGAAGATGATCCTTGGACAGCCGGTGAGGTTTCCGGAGGATGACATCGATGACAGCAGGCAGAGCTCAAGCAGCCAAGGCAAGCAAACGAGCACCACAACAAACAGCCAGCAGCGCAACAACAAGGTTGGTGGTGGGTTTGATAATCTAAAAATAGTGGGTTATTCAGACGCTAGTTTTGCACCCTCTGGCAGCAGATCCTTCGGCGCTTCACTTATTACGATTGAGGACTCACCAGTGGCCTGGAGATGCTCAAAGCAAGGGTTCGTGATGTTATCGATCATGGAATCGGAGCTGTATCAAGCAACGGAAGCAGCGGTTCTCATGGAAAACGTTGGTGTGCTTTTGGATGAACTGGCGGCGCAACCGCTGCCAAGAGTCATGAAAGTAGATAATGCATCTGCTGTGGCCATGTTGAATGGAGGATCCGGGAGCTGGCGAACGCGTCACTTGAAAGTGCGCTCAGCTTTTCTGCTTGAAAGGATTCAGAAGAAGTGGCTGTTGGTGGAGCATATTGAGGGCATGCTACAGAAGGCGGACTTGTCAACGAAAGTTCACTCGAAGCTTCGTTTGTGGGCACTTCTGAAACTGTGGAAGTTTGAGGGTTTGCCATCGGAAGCCGAGACAATGGTTTTGATGAGGATGCTAGCAGCGGCATGTGTTGCGAAGGCGTTCGAAATGATTCCGAAAGCAGAGGCGGCCTTGGAGGACAATGAGGTGTCTATGGTCTCTAGAGCTGGGGTGGATGAGTTATTGCTGTTCACATTGCTGGCATGCTTGGTTGCAGTGATGGTCTGGGAAGGATTGAAGATGCTATCAAGACGTGTTTGGACATGTTGCTGTAAACCTGGACGGGGAAAGAAAGCACAAAGGCTTAAAAACCTGGCCAAGGCAGCGGCAGAGGCAGAAGTTGATCGAGCATTCACACCCGAGCGACGACAGGAGGCCTCGTCATCGTCATCTGCGAGTTTACCGAGGTTTGCACCGAGCAGAACTACTACGACGCAGCTCACAAGGACTACAAGTACCCAAACGCCGGACTGGGAAATCACAAGAGGACCGGTGCCTACAGTTGCGACGCCCCCTCGGGAGGCGCACAATGCTGCGCATGAGGACACGCTGTACGCAGCGTTCGATGGACCGTTTTACCGGTCGGAGCATGGAGACACAATCCATACTCGTGGGGACTGCCACGGTTTCAGACTTGCGACATCAAGAATCATTCAGCAGAGGTTGTGCGCATGGTGCAACCGAACAGATCCTGTGTTCAGGCGAAGGAATGATGCTCGGAGGACCTTGAGGTTCCAGAACACTGGATGAATCATTGAGGTTTTCGTCTACCAATTTGGAGATGTTAACACTGCATGCAGCTTAGTTGTGGAGCAACTTTGCAGCACTAGTTCCCTACGGGAACATACGAACCGGTACAGTACTGGTGACCACTTCCTGAAAAAGGAAGGGCCAAGGAGGAGTGTGGAAGCTCTGAACCTTGTGTATACCTTCAGATGCCGTTTGAAAGGTGTCAAGCATGCAGCCTTGGATATGTAAAGACCGTCTAGCTGCAAGGCCCTAGAGCTTGTAAAGTTGTGCTCTAGGTCGTGTACTGAAGTGCATCTCAGATTTCTTGTGCGGAAAAGTAAGACCTCGCTTGCGTTGCCCCATGGTTTCAATCCGATAAAATTGGAACGATACGTGAAGAAGAACAGCAAGGCAGCTCCGCAGGACTGGTGTCAGTCAACAGAATTCTATTTGGGGGGTTCCACATATTCGAATTACAGTATACTATACCCCAAAATCAAAATTCTTAAGGCCCTATTTTGGAACCCTACTAATGATCCCTTTAAAGGGATCCTTTAAAGGAGCCCTATTCTACTTCTTCAGGCCCCTTGGGGAGCTAGAGCGCTACAGAATGCCAGGCCATGGACCGGAGCGCCCAGCGGCAGGGCTCCTCAGATGCAGCGGGTTGATGATATAAATCCTGCATTACCCACAATAAGGATTTTACCATAATTCCCTTAGTTTAGGGCCCTTAAGGTAATGCAGGATTTATATCATCAACCGTAGGAAAGCTACCAACATCTATTGTAAGGGCTTAGGGTATAGGATGTAGGGTTCAGGATAACATCTACTATAAGGGAATTTAAGGTCACTATGATATATATATATATATATATAGAGTTATGATGAGGTTTTAGGTCCCTAAACCCTGAAGCCGTTTAGGGGTTTGGGGTTTCATGGTGTCATGGTGGAGGTCTCACGGGTTTTGAGGTTCGTTGGGCTCTGATTTGGCTCTTGGCTTCTGCGTGTCAAAACTGGAACCTCTAGCTACTTGATTTAGTTTTTGTGTTGTGGTTAAACTCATTTTTCCTTGGCAAGTGCTGTCTCGACTCCGACTGATTTAGGTTTTAGGTCATCATGAAAGTGCCCTCTCCTGTCATCATCATGACTATTCTGATCATCATGATCTTCTGACCGCGAGGTCACTGCTTCGGTCTACATGGGTTTACACTGAGAAAACTTGGATTGCCTTGAAGCTGCCGAGGAAAAGGACGAACAAGGGGAAGCACAAAACTGATTCCGGGAATGCGAGTTTGTGGCATCGCCAGCGGAACTTCATAGACAGTATACAGGGCTGCGACACCTTGAACCGGGGGGTCTTACACTGGTAACCTTAATCATCATGCACACAAAACCGAAACCCTCGAGCCAGAAGCCGAACTTGTAGGTCTTTGTGTTTGTGCGGCTGGAGTGCTTTCGTTCCGAATTGTCCCTTGTCCTTGTCACTGTTGTTGGTTGTAGAAATGAGCGGTACATTGCGGCAGCAGCTTGGCGGTAATATCTGGTTGGATACACTTCAGCGTTTACAGACCCTTCATGGTTTAGGGCACAGGGTTGTTTACAGTAAACCCCATCAAGTTGTAAACCGGATTAAGGCCAAATAGTGCTGGGATTCCCCTTCCATTACTCTTAAGGACTGCGGCTATTGGGTTTCCGACTTCTGGGCTTCTAGCAAGGCATGGTGGGCCAGATACCCCGTGCTTCAACCGCGATGATTCTAACCCTGGTGCAGTGCACTGTCCCACGGTGCTGTTTCATCGGTGCTGTTTCTACCGGATCTTCTTGCAGTGGAAACTCTTAGCGAGTCAGTCAGTCCAGTGATCTGAAACAAGACTTCAAGACAACACCTGCGCCCGAACCCCTTCAGTCAGGAAATCCTTGCATCCTGGAAAAGCCGTCGAAAATACGTCGTGTCAGCCTTTAGTGCTGCGGTGTGAGTCTCATTATTTAGGGTTTCCTGGCGCATATTCCTAAGCGCTTCGTCCTAAATTAGGAAAGGAGTCTCTGTAAGGCTTCATGGAGTTTGGACCCGAACCCTTGTAATTATAGATCCCTTTAAAGGAACCCTAAAACACTAATGCTTGAAAGATTTGCTTGGCATTTTCGAAAGCTCCGCTGCCGGGTGGCTTGGCTCAACCACATCTTCAAGCTCTTCGGAGATCTCCTCCTGCTCTCAGGTGTGTAGGTCTTTAGGGCTTTAGGGATTTAAGGCTTCTGTACAGGATCTTTCAGGGTTCACACAAGGGACCTAGAAGGCTTCTGTAAAGGGCTTGAGGGCTCTATGGTTTAGGGATGTAGGGCTGTGGAAGTCCAGGGCCTAGGGCTTCAGAACGTTGTAGATAAGGGGCTTTAGGGATGTGTGTTTATGAAAGGTGGTTCCTCCGAGAGCTTCTGTGACCTGCTGACCAGCCTTGTTGCACTTGTCATGTACACACACACACACACATAGCGCGCAGATATTGATAGATATACAGATGCAGACACACGTGAAGATACAGAGGGAGATGGAGGTGGACACAGAGATGGAGACAGAAGTAGTACAGGTATAGATATAAAGATATAAGTGGAGCTTTCGTTCTACAGATACAGATGCAGATACACCGCCAGAGACATACGCAGATATAGATCTCGTTACCGATATAGGTACAGATACAGACAATGTTATAGATACAGAAGCAGAGGCTATGACAGATGTGAATATTCATGTAGGTATAGAAGTAACTATTGGCATACCTATATGTACAAATTCTTGAAAATTATACATGTAGATAGCGACGAAGACGACGATGGAGATAGAGGCTAGATACAGTTACGGCTATAGATACAGACACAGATACAGCTATAGATGGAGATAAAGACTTTGCTGAAGACACAGGTATATATGTATATAGATGCACGTAAAAAAATGTAGATGTGGACATAGGTACACATGTAGATAGGTGTAAACCCTATGCATATGGGTGGTTGTCAAAATTACGGCCCCTTTTTGGGCCCCAATTATAAGACGGCACCTAATATTATTAGGGTACCCACAAAGGGACCCTAATTTTGACAAGCACCTATATGGGCCGACAGATAGCTAGCCGGATCGAGGTTACCCCTAAACCCTAAACCCTAAACTCTAAACCCTAAACCCTAAATTCTAAACCCTAAACTCTAAACCGTAGAAGGACGCGACTGGCCTTCTCGAAGGCATCGTCGTAGTTCCCATCAGCCTCCGTGGGTGTTGGATTTAAGGATTGGGTCTTAGGGCTTAGGATTTAGGGTTCGGGGTCTTAGGGCTTAGGGTTTAACTTAGGGTTTGGGGTCTTAGGGTTTATGGTTTAGGGTCTTGGGGCTTAGGGTTTAGGGTCTAGGGGTTTAGGGTCGTAGGGTTTAGGGTTTTAGGGTTTCAGGTTTGATTCAACTCCAAACCCCGAATCCCAAAAACTCTTGAGAACTCATACCCTCCAACCCCCCGTAGCTCCGGCAAGATAATGCGGGGGCCCCGGTCATTAGTTTTGGGGGATATTTATAGTATAAGTCTGATAAGGAACCCTAAGGAACAGTATTGGTAATCGCTGAGGCTTCTACATTGTAGAACCCTACTATAGATCCCTCATAGACCCCTTATGGAACCCTTTAAAGGAGCCCTATAGGTAGTCATTGAGGCTTCTACATTACTGTAAGGCAGCCGCCAAGCTCCATGGACTTTTGGCTTCGGGGCCCAGTCACGATTCGAGCGCGCATTCTAGGTTTAGGGTTTAGGGACATGTACTGTTTAGGGTTTAGGGTTTAGGGACATATCCGTTTAGGGTTTAGGGACATATACCGTTTAGGGTTTAGGGTTTAGGGAAATATACCGTTTAGGATTTAAAGGTTTAGGGACATATACCTGCCTCGATGCAATAACAACCGCATCAGCATAAGGAAGATCTAAATGGGGCTTTAAGTTTAGGCTGGTGGGTTCACGGCTCCGAGGTTCGAAACTGCTTTCAATTTCAGTCGATAAGTCTGCAAGGTTCATCACTTGCACATAGGTTCGATCCCGTTCCCTGTCTTGCATCTTACACTACTGCCCCTAGACCCTGAGCCCTGTACCTTAAACCCTAAACCCTAAACCTTAAACCCTGAACCTTAAACCCTAAACCCCCCAACTCCGTAGAAGCTCTGGGTTCCCATCACTATCTTATAAGGCCGACTGTTGCTTCGGATGTTCAGGGCTTAGGGATTTAGGGATAGCAGTATGGTATGAGATCGCTGAAACTTGTGGCAACTCGGGTTCCGCGGCAATTCGGGATCAGGAACCACATGATGCAGCAGCTGCGTAAATGCCGCAAATAAACTACAGAGGCTCGAGCAAAAACCTTGTGTTTAGCATGGCACAAAATAAAACTTCACCCTACCCCGAACTCTGCCTCCTCTGTTGAAAACGGAGCGCGGCCGATTGCCTCGGGTGCGAGCGGACCTTGCAGCTGTTGAGTTTCTGGGGTGGGTTTAGGGCCAGTTTTAGGGTTTAGGGATTCGGGCTGAGGAGGGTTTAGGGCTTTGGGCTGAGGAGGGTTTAGGGCTTTGGGCTGAGGGGTGTCAGGGTTTAAAGGATTTTGGGGCGTGGCTCTATCCGGGAAATATCGGGTGTGAACCTTTCAGCACTCGAGTGGATGCAAGTGTGCATCGCGTGAGGTGAAAAGCGGTGTGACTCTCGGTGGTATGTTTCACACGACGAAAACTTCTTCGTTTTTGGAGATGTCAGCTAAAAGGAGTATCAAGCTCGACAGGCTCGACACCTTTCCACTACTTGTGATTGGAATTCCAGCACAGAGAAGCAGCAAATCTCCTCCTGTGTTTGACCGTGAATGCGTACCTGCCAGTACAAAACCGTATCGGGGCCTTATTCATTAGAATAGGGTTTTGGGGCGCATTTTGGTAATTACTAGGATCCGTTTAGTACAAATTCATGTTTCAAGCTGTCACCATGGCGCCCGCAATCACAGCGCCGCCTCCTGGAGACTTCATCGGGCTTGCATCGAGTTCCTCTGAAAGCTGCTCCTGGACAGTCAAACTACGACGACGACGAATGCTGCCACCATAACTCGTAACACCTACTACTACTGCTGCTGCTACCACTACTAATACTGCTACTGCTACTGCCACTGCCACTTGCCACTTGCCACCGACACTGCTGCCGATGCTGATAAGCCTTGAGCCGTAAATGCCCGTTTAGATGACATACCTTCCTGTAGTTGTCATCGCTACTATAGCAACAAGACAGCTAAAGCACTAAACTTACCACCAAAGCTTGAAGCACGCATGTCGTTCCTGGGCGGAAGACAGGGAAAGGAAGCGATGGTTCCTTCTAGAGTCTGCTTTCAGGAGTTCTTGTGGCTTCGGTCATAAAAACCCTACATAGTGAAAGCACTGCTACTCTGGCGAGATAGGCGCCTTACTAATATTAACAGGCTTTTGGGCGTGATCGGACGGGCAAGCGAAACTAGAGGGGTTTGTGCCTTACCTGTCCGTAATCGTGTTGGAAAAAAGCTTCTGGTAGAGATGATGTCGGTGACAACTTTGATCATCTTATCCAGCTCGGAACGTCCAGATTCAAGCAGTGCAAGTTGGATCTTTGTGGCACCTTGACACTTTCGCCTCAAATAGGTTGGGACAACTCAGAGCTAATCGTTTTGCGGCAATGAACGCACTGTTCGTGAGTAGCCCAGCAGGGCTTGATCAGGTGGATGCACGTCGCATTGTCAAGAATTTGCGATTGAAAGATTCATCTGCTTGCTCAAAATGTGCTGACCATTTCGGATCGAATAGTTGGCTGTTTGTCAGTGAAGGCCGCAGAGAAGTCAGCGGGAGTGATACGCAGCACACGTGTGTTGACTCGATCGTCACTTTTGTGCTCAATGAAAATGTGCTGCAATCCATGGCGACATCGACGAGATTCCACTGAGGAGAGTAGAAAACATGAGTGATTAATATGGAAATGCACAGGTTAGGTCCATCTTATAGAACTATAGTATAGTCATATTGGGGCTACTGTTTGCTTGTTCTAACCTCCCTATTGGCTTCTGACCGAAACCGAAGTCCTCAGTCCAATTCGCCTCCACAGTGGAGGGAGCGTGTGCAGTGGGCTGACCTCGCAGCTCGGGGCGTGTCAGCTTGTCCGAGTTCGACACGACAAATCAAGCACCACGGGAGTTTGAAGGTGGAAAGTTAAAGGGGGTCTACGTAAGTCTATATGTGAATAGAGAGCGAGGGAGAGGCAATGTGTGTGTGTTTGTGTATCAAAGAGATTCGTGTGACCTGAGCTTCAACGAAGCAATGCCCACATCTCATGACTCATGCATTCCCTAACACCGGATTTCAGCCCTTCCGGCCTTCCAGCGGATTTTGTGCCTTGTGCTCGAGCTTCTCGGAATGCATCTCCTGCCCAGCGGACTGATTATGCCTTCCGTCCGTGGGTTTACCGAAATTCCTGAGGGTGTTTCCAAAATCAGCAACGGAAGATGGCTGAATAACTCAAGCTAAGACACTAAGAGAGTAAAACAGCAAACCTAGTGATATAGGAAGGGTGCCAATGCCCCCGCACGGGAGCCTCGAATGCCTCGTCTCCGTAGTCACTGCCCGGTGACACGGGGGAGGCCTGCGTGACTGCTTGCAACTACAGGTTTGCAGTTCCGGGGTTGAGGGTTTAGGATAGTTTAGGGACTTTAGGGGAGGTTTGGGAGCGTGAAGCTACGTCGCTCCGTGCCCTCCACCAACACGAAACAGCAGCCTCTGCCGACCGGATGCTCGGCTCGCTCGGGACGGCCTCTAGCTCCGCCTCGGCACAAATTAGCAGCACGCAAGGGTTTCGAATGAGGGCTGAGTGTACCAAGTTTACAAACAGCCTTAATGTGAGCAAAGCCCCTAAAACTTATACGACAGGTTTGCCTGCAACTTGTTGTGCGAGCTCGTCTATGACTCGACCTTCGATCTCCACCTTCAAGCCCAGAATACCCCCTGATGTCACCTCAAGTGGTGAAGAAGCGCCACCGGTGACCTCGGGCGCTGGTGCACCTTGCACTGTTGGCAGGTTCGGCATGTTCCTTCATGTATATAGGGACAACTGAATTCGCAGAATGCCCTGTTGCTTGTGTAAAGGTGCTGCAAGGCCTCGTCTACCCAAAGCAGGTTTCGAAGTCGGTGACTAACATTCGTGAGAGATCCCAGAGTGTCACAGGGCATCGAGTATAAAGCCTAACGAACGCCTACACCAAAAAGTTCTATGTCGGAACCAGTTTCCGTGGCCTGCTGCGGGCTCGAACGGCTGGTCTTCCAACTCCTCCGAAGCCTGTTCCTGCCCAGGAACCGCAGCAAAGTCAGGCAGCGCCAGCAGCAGGGGCATTGGTGTCGGTAGTTGTTGGATTTGGCCCCTTCTTGTGTTTCTACTGTCTGCAATTGCGTTTGGCCTTGCCATTCAATCTCTTTGTGTTGCAAGGAAGCCTTTCCGAGGTTGTCTGCAACAGCGGAAAACCGAAGCTTTCCAGACGAATAAGTCGCTCACCAACTTATTGAGCACGATACGTGCGCAAACATGCGGCCTGCCTCAAACAAATCGTCCGAATAGTCGATTTCCCTTCCAGTGGGCGCTGCCTGCATCACCGCAAGAAGAAGATAAAAGCTCCGATGCTTCCTGAACCCTAAACCCCTAAACCCTGAACTCTAAACCCCAAACCCAAAAACCCTAAACCGTTCAGAAAAACGCACTGGAGGCACAAAGCACGCACGGGGCAGCAAACCCTAGAGCTGAGCTACGGAGCCACTCGAGCGAATGTCCGTGAGACCCTAAAAACCTTAAGCGACGCGCTTCGGTTTAGGGTTTAGGGTTTAATTTGTGGTTCAGGGGTTTAGGGTTTAGGGTATACTATTGTCGATTATCGTCGTCATGGTTCACATAACAACACCCAAGCTTGATGCATGGATGTCGTTCCTGGTCGGATCATGGGGAAAGGGAGAACGAACAAAGACTAGCGTCCCAGGGTCCTTTCATTCAAGTGGTTGCTTTCTTGCGTTCTTGTCGTTTCTGTATGTCATTAGAACGCTATGAGACGCCTAGTATAGAGGCCCTAATAAATACATAATTACGTAATACTATGTTGGGGACTCCTTATTACTGTTATGGTATAACGGGCCCCAAAACCCTATTCTAAGAATTAAGGCCCCCATAGTAGTGCAAGCACTGCTACTCTTGAAGTCTTTTTGGGCATGACAGGACACGAAGTCTGCTCGGGCAAGCGAAACCAAAGGGTTTCTACCTACTGTCATTTCAAGCCGAGTCACCGTTGGAAGTCGGCTTTTAGAGGTAATATCTGTGAAAATTTTGATGGTCCCATCAAACTCGGAATGCCAAGAGATGCCAAGAGTCAAGTAGTTCAAGTGGGATCGAAGTGGCAGCTGACACTTTCGGCTCAAATTGGCCACACGCCTTGTTCGTCATTAGCCCAGCCAGGATTAATCACGCGTCGAATCAACTGCTTGCTGAAAGTCGTCTCCGTGCCAGTACTCCAGCCAGCGCTGGTTCAAGGATATATATATATATATACATACATATATATATATATATGTATTTATTTATTTACTCCATATGCCAAGCGGCAGCTGAGTATTACCTTTGAAGCGATGTCACGCAGGGTGTGATTCGCCTTCATTTGACTCCAGCTGATACTTTCGGATCGAGAAGTTGGCTGTCTGACAGTGAACGCCGCGTAGACTTCAGAGCGGGAGTGACGCGCAGCATGTGTTTGTTGACTTGATCTTCAATGTTGTGCTCAATGAAAACACCCAGCTATCCATAGCAACATCAACAAGGCACCACTGAGCAGAGTAGAAAACACCAATGCGCAGGGCTGGGCCCAGATTATAGTACAGTCATATTCAGTTTTAGAAGAGACTGAAGAGACTACTCACCAACATATTTAACATTATTTAACAGGGGCTACTATCATAAACATTTCAGGTATTCTGACCTCTACATTGGCTTCTGACCGCACCGGAAGTTTGTTTTCTGCCGGATGTGGGACACGGGGACAACATTCTCAGCAGACATGGTTTATGGTTTTGGGTTTAGGGATTCATGAGTGTTCAAAATTGACAAAAGGGTTCTTGCAGAAACCTGCCGTGGACTTGCGACAGAGCAGCGAAGAAGTGTTGACATTTCGCCAGATGTGGAAGCCTTCATTCAGATCACATGGTGAGCTGTGGAGAATATTTTTAGAAAAAATGCTGGAGTTCATCCTGAGCCAAAGTCTATATAAACCCTTAAAGCTCTCAAAGCGTCAAACCTTACAGTCGGCTCTGCGTCCTCTGCGGGGGAAGGCGCGTGGATGACGACCTCGGGCACCTGCTGACCTCGCAGGTTTGACAGCTGAAGGCGTACGGTACGGACAGTAGCAAGTGAAAGTAAAAAGAGCAACCATGGGTGGTTTGGTAGAAGAAGAAGCCTCGGAATGAGAAGCGATGCTTGTTGGTGAAAGTCTACCGGACTCGAAAAAAACCTCTCTCTTAAGATCTTATGCCAACAGGAAATCATAACAAGCAGCGGTAAGATATTGAGGGTTCAGGTCCTGTGTAATTTATTAGGTCGATCATCTCGGGCACGTGTTGGTTGGTGCAGGGTACCGATGGGGGATGGGCGGCAAAGGGGCAAGAGGGGGTTTAGGGACCCAGAAAAGCACATAAGCAAACAAATTAGGATAGGGATATCCCATATAAACCCCCTTATAATGAAGCCCAATAAGGTAGAGATATCCCCATAAAATGCTTATGCTTATGTGCTGTTTGGGTCCCTAAGGGTTGCGATTGAGCCTGGGTGCTTGGCAGTGTAACATACATGTCAACGCGACACAGCTCTGCGAACAAACTGCAGCCTAGTTCGCTTACATAGACCTTACCTTAACCCGGAATAACCTACCTTTTTAAGGACTTATATAAGGAAATCATAATAAGGAACCCTAAAAGGGTAGGTTCTTCAGGGTTAAGGTAAATCTTCAGAACTGGTTCCTGCACTCGATCCCTACACTTTGGTCTTCTCCGGTCCACTGGAGGATACCGCAAGCCCGAGACCCTAAGCTCCAAACCCTAAATCAAGAGCTACTAACCGCCCAAGCCCAACCCACCAAGTGCAGTGAACAAACGAATCCCTTCTAGCGAGGCCTACAGAAACTCGGCAAACCTGCAAGCCCTCGGTCTTGCAACCTCCGCCCTATAATAGCCCCTAAGGGTTCCTGCAAGACCCTAAACCCTAAAACCCCAAGCCCCTAACCCTATAGGTCCCTTATAGAAACCCTTTGAGATCCCTTTAAAGGAACCCTAAACCCGACCTGCAGGAGGCTCCAAAGCCCCCTCCTGGTCTGCAGAAAGCTGCTCCTGGCAGACAGTCCGGTTTAGAGTTTAAGGTTTAGGACCCTAAACCCTAAACGCTAGGGTTTATGGTTTAGGGTTTAGGACCCTCAACCCTAAACGCTGGGGTTTGGGGTTTAGGGTTCAGGACCCTCAACCCTAAACCCTAGGGTTAAGGGTTACTTTCTCAGATCTTCATGGGGCTTAGCATTTAGGGAAGGGTTTGGGGTTTAGGTTTAGGGGTGAAGGGGTTTAGGGTTTAGGATTTGTGGGTTGTAGTTTTGGGGCTCTGAAAATTATTTTATGAAGAGGTACCTCTGTAGGAACCATAAAGGGGATGTAAGAAGTTTCCCAAACTGCCACCTAGTCATGTGGGTTTAGATGTGTGATCAGAAAGAACCTCCGGGGGCTTCGGATTGAGGGTGTGGAGTTTGGGAGTTTCGGTTTGGACTTGAGATCCAAAGTTTCGAGCATAGGGGCGTGGAATTTAAGTGTCAAGTTTGAGGTTGAGCGGAGACAGGAAGAATTAGCAACAGTGTTGCCTTAAAGCCTTGCATTTCGGTTGCCTAAATAAAAGTTTCAAACCCAAGCAACCTGCCGACAGCTCCAGCAATCCGACTCTAACCGACAACATTTCGAGGCCTGAACCTTGTTTCGGGAAACTGTCAACCCTCTTCCCTATCCCCTCCAAGGACCTCATAGTTAGGCCCCTAGAGCCCTTAAGGACCCCATAAGAAGGTCCCTGGAGGCATAAGGTCTTAAGCTGTAAAGATTTGAATCCATAAGCCCCGAACTCTATAGACACTATTATTCTAAATATAGCTTATAAATGTATATAAATATATCTGAAGGCAAGAAGGTTGCCTGCGTAATGCGATTCATAAATTAAAGTAGGCCCCTATATTACGACCCCTCAAAATCAGTTCTGAGCTTGCAGCATCCCAGTAGCAAAGAAAGGGTCGAGGCTCTGAGGGCTTAGGTTCTCTGAACCTTTGCCGTCCTCCATCTTCCCTCGAAGCTACTTCCAAAAGCGGACTTCAGGGTTTAGGGTCGTTGTTTAGGTTGTTTTTGTTCGTGCTTTCCCTTTCTTTCCTGGAGTCTAGAGTTTAGAGGTGGGGGCTTGGGGTTTCGGTTTTTGGGGTTGCGGCTTAGGCTTCGAGTGAGCAGGGCCTCAAAAGGCTCGTCTCCATAGTCGCTGTACTTCCCAGCGGACGATGCCTGCGGCTCTATGTGTATCCTATATGCCCTCTACACCCTAGATGCCAAAACCCCAAGCCCTTAACCATTCAGAAGGTGGCGTTCTGGAACAACACAGTGCGAAATGCTGAGGGCTATAGCAATAGCCAACGCGGGGATGCCCAGTGTGCTTTTCCTCTGCTTGATACTGTTTTTAGCAAGCTGAGGATGCTCACAAGTGCTCTCCATGCGATTGAAGAAGTTGCTCCAGTCTGAATCACTCTTTATCGCGGGTATCTTGCACGCAGTCGATTCAAAAGACCAAAAATCTTGCACTACGAGAAGGCACGCCAAATTCCCCCTGACCCGTGGCGCTGTGGCGCTACTGCTGCTGCTAGTGCCACTTCTACTCCTCCTCCTCCTCCTCCTCCTCCTAACCTACTATTTCTACTCCTACCCCTGCTCCTGCTACTGCTACCGCTATTGCCACTGTCATTGCCACTGCTCCTACTACTCCTACTACTCCTACTGCTCCTACTACTCCTACTAGTGCTACTACTCCTACTACTCCTACTACTCCTACCACTACCAGTACCACTACCACTACCACTACTACTACTACTACTACTACTACTACTACTACTACTACTACTGCTGCTACGACGACTACTACTACTCCTAGTCCCAGTCGCGGTCCGACTCCTACTCCGAGTACAGCCTTGCACTGCTGCTACGTGTACCACGTATAACATATTTCTGAACTCTGTGCACTACTTGGAGGATCATGGGGCTTCGTAAGTAAGCTTATAAGTACCCTAATTGGGGTCATAAGTAGCTATAAGTATAGTCAGCCTAATTATAACCCTAGATTTATATGGTCCCATGATCCTTTAAGTAGTCATCTCATGTCGCATCTCCGCAAAACTCGCAAAACTGAGGTGTGGGCAGGCCGATCGGAAGACTCGGTCACATCCTTCGCCACGGAACCTCCGAGTCTTCTGCGGCTTCAAACTTACCTAAACCCTAAACCTTAAACCCTATACCTTAAACCCTAAACCCTATTAAACCTTAAACCCTAAACCTTAAACCCTAAACTTAAAGACTTAAAGATCGCCCCATGCGGGAAGATGGCGAAAGCATCGGGAGCCTGGAACTGCCCGACCGCCGCTGCCAGGTTTCTCTTCCGGCTCCTCCAAGACCACTTGGATTAGGATGTCCTTAAGGGGGGGTGGTCCAAGGGGGGTAGGCAACCTAGTAATCCCCATTATTCCCCAATACTCCCTAAGCTTCCCTAAGGTTCCCCAAAGCTCCCTAGTACCCTCCCCCCTTGAACCACCCCCCCTTAAGGATCCTATAATTGGAGGATCATGAGACTTAGTAAGTAGGGTTGAGGGTTCCTTTTTAGGGCACTGTAGGGTTCTATAATAGGGTTCCTTAAAGGGGCGAGACAGGCAGGCTCTTGGAGGGAATAACTACCTATACTACTTTGGGGATTCCTTATTCGACTTACAGTATAAGGGAATAACAGGGGTCTATAACGGACCTATAATAGTTTTTTTTCTAGGGGCCTAAATAGTAACCTATACTATTTTGGGGATTCCTTATTAGAATTACAGTATAATGAGCCCCAAGACCCTATGCTAATTCAACAGCTCGGGCTGCAGACGGAGCATTGACGTTGAAGAACATTTGATGGACGGTTCCTTTTACCCTATACAGTTTACGGGGCACGGCTGCGTCATTTCTGTGAGCGTTCTGCGTTGTACTCCCTTTCTCTGCTTTCGCATGTCCTGAGACCCGAGACTTATCCAGACGCTGCATCGAGTGACAAACCTCTGGGAAACCCTCAAACTGCCCGAAACTTCGAATGATCGAACTTCCCCTATGCCTCCAGGACCTTATATATTATGGGGTCCTTAGGGGGTCTAGGGCCAAACTATGAGGTCTTTGGAGGGATAGGGTTCAACCCTGACTATCACTGAAAGCAACTCACTCACTCTGAGGCGTGCAAGGTCCGAGAAGTCCTTTGCCTCGGGACTAAAAGCAAGCCTACATCCTGGAAACTCTAAAACCGGGGCCTTCATAATAACCTATACTTTTTTTGGAGGGGGGTGCTTAATATAACTTAATATAGTTATAGTATAATTCAGTATAGTATAACCCCCAAAGCCCTATTAAAATTAAGGCCCCTATATTAGACCCTCGAGGAGCCTGCTCGAAGTCTTCTGAGCCGTAGCCTCCGTAGTCGCTGCTCCGCTCGACAGGCGATGCCTCCATGGCTTCTCGCGCTGACTGCTTCGACACAAGTGGGGGTTCCTTTAAAGGGTTACTATAAGGGTATTATAAAAGTTCCTTTAAGGGGCTCTATAAGAGTTTAGGGTTTCCGAAAAGAAGGGGGTACCTTAGTTTGGGGGTCCTTATAAAGAGAATTCTAGTATTTAGGGTACTATATTAGGGTCCCCTATTTTCCGAAACTCCCAAGTGCTCTTTGTATCTGACCGGTCCGACGCTGGCACTCAACAACGGCCGACAAGATACTCCTGGATAAGCGATGACAGCTTCCCGCATGAATGCCTCGTCTGCATGCTCGCTGCTCCGATCAATCGGCAATCGCGGCGACGCCTGCACGGCTGTCGGGAGCTGTGGTGTGGGGAGCTTTCTTTGATTGCTTGGATGGGTGCGGATTCAGATCTAAACTGTGTGCTGTGACGAGCCCCTGCACATACGTACAAAAATGAACGGCCTCTGCCGACCGGATGCTGGGCTCGCTTGGCACGGCCTCGACCTCTGGCTCCGCCTTGGCCTTTGGGCGCAACGAGTCTAGAGCATCAAAGATCATGCTGAAGGAACCAAGACATCTTGAATCATTGGTCGCAATTTCTCTGTCGCTGCATGACAACTTACGTAAAGGTAATCCCGCGGCGACTACCTTCAAACGACAACACCATCTGAAGCATGCCCTCTCCACACCCCTCAGTCCAATTCGCCTCCGCAGAGGAGGGAGCGTGTGCAGTGGCCTCTGGAATGGGCTGACCTCGCAGCTTGGTGCATGCTAGCTTTAGAGCTCGTCAGGCTCAAGGCATCGACAATCTTCGACACGACGGATCAGGCACCACGGGGGCTTGAAGGCGGAAAGAAAAACGCAAATATCAGTTTACATGTGCATATGTATGTCTGTGTGCATCAAAGCGATCCGTGTGGCCTCACCTTCAACAACGCAATGAACGCCGTTGGGCATGCTCATCCCATGCATCACCTAATACACCGACACCAGAACCCTGCCCATCCGGCCTTCCAGCGGATTCTGTGCCTTGTCCTCAAGCTTCTCGGAATGCATCTCCTGCCGAGTGGACTGATTATGCTTTATGCCTTCCGTCCGTGGGTTTACCAAAATTCCTGAGGTTCTTTCCAACCAGCAACGGAAGATGGCTGAATAACTCAAGCTAAGACACTAAGAGAGTAAAACAGCAACCTAGTGATATAGGAATGGTGCCAATGCCCAAGCATGGGAGCCTCGAATGCCTCGTCTCCATAGTCACTGCCCGGTGACACGGGGGAGGCCTGCGTGGATGCTTGCAATATGAAAAACTGTCCCGGGGTTGAGGGTTTAGGACAGTTTAGGGCCTTTCGGGGACTTTTGACAGCGTGAAGCTACGTCGCTCCGTGCCCTCCAGCAACACACAGCAGCACGGCCTCTGCCGACCGGATGCTCGGCTCGCTCGGCACCGCCTCAGCCTCATGCGCCGCCTTGGCCTTTGGGCAGGGTACGTGTAGTGTCGGGAACATTTACGTAATTTCAGCGCGACGACGGAGGATGCATTGGGAAGCGTGGCTATGGTCTATGTGCCGCCGGCCCAAACCCCTCACATGTCCGTCAGGTATCTGTAGCCTCAGACTCTCATATACTTCCGCAGGATTGCAAAACAACTCGAGAGCGATCATGCAGGGAATTTCCAGAATGGAGCTTGAGCAGGATTCTTGGGGCGGCTTGCTGCCTCAAATGTCATGCGGCTTGCAAGCTTGAACTTTGAAACGAGTTTAGAGCATAAAGGATCGCGTCGGAGCAATCAAGACATGTTGAGATAAGGATCGCATTCTCTCTGTCGCTGCATGACAACTTACGTAAAGGCAATCCCGCGACGACCACCTTCGACCGACAACACCATCTGAAGCATGCCCTCTCCACACCCCTCAGTCCAATTCGCCTCCGCAGAGGAGGGAGCGTGTGCAGTGGCCTCTGGAATGGGCTGACCTCGCAGCTTGGTGCATGCTAGCTTTAGAGCTCGTCAGGCTGAAGGCATCGACAATCTTCGACACGACGAATCAGGCACCACGGGGGTTTGAAGGCGGAAAGCAAAGCCGCCAATATCAGTTTACTTGTGCAGAGAGAGCGAGAGGGAGGGGCACTGTGTGGCTGTGTATCAAAGAGATCCGCGTGGCCTCAGCTTCAACGACGCAATGACCACCGTTGGGCATGCTCAAGATCCCTGCCCATCCGGCCTTCCAGCGGATTCTGTGCCTTGTCCTCAAGCTTCTCGGAATGCATCTCCTGCCGAGTGGACTGATTATGCTTTATGCCTTCCGTCCGTGGGTTTACCAAAATTCCTGAGGTTCTTTCCAACCAGCAACGGAAGATGGCTGAATAACTCAAGCTAAGACACTAAGAGAGTAAAACAGCAACCTAGTGATATAGGAATGGTGCCAATGCCCAAGCATGGGAGCCTCGAATGCCTCGTCTCCGTAGTCACTGCCCGGTGACACGGGGGAGGCCTGCGTGGCTGCTTGCAACATCAGGTTTACAGTTCCGGGGTTGAGGGTTTAGGAATTAAGGCCTTTAGGGAACTTTTCTTGGCGGACTTCTGAACCCCTCCTAAAAGTTAAACTTTTAGCCTCCTTATTCTAGTTCATATAGAAACCCAAAAAGTTAAAGTCTAAAGAGTCAACCAGAAGATCGCCAAGTTTTGACAGCGTGAAGCTACGTCGCTCCGTGCCCTCCACCAACACACAGCAGAACGGCCTCTGCCGACCGGATGCGCGGCTCGCTCGGCACCGCCTCAGCCTCTTGCTCCGCCTTGGCCTTTGGGCAGGGTACGTGTAGTGTCGGGAACATTTACGTAATTTCACTGCGACGACGGAGGATGCATTGGGAAGCGTGGCTATGGTCTATGTGCCGCCGGCCCAACACCCTCACATGTCCGTCAGGTATCTGTAGCCTCAGACTCTCATATACTTCCGCAGGATTGCAAAACAACTCGAGAGCGATCATGCAGGGAATTTCCAGAATGGAGCTTGAGCAGGATTCTTGGGGCGGCTTGCTGCCTCAAATGTCATGCGGCTTGCAAGCTTGAACTTTGAAACGAGTTTAGAGCATAAAGGATCGCGTCGGAGCAATCACGACATGTTGAGATATGGATCGCCTTCTCTCTGTCGCTGCATGACAACTTACGTAAAGGCAATCCCGCGACGACCACCTTCGACCGACAACACCATCTGAAGCATCCCCTCTCCACACCCCTCAGTCCAATTCGCCTCCGCAGAGGAGGGAGCGTGTGCAGTGGCCTCTGGAATGGGCTGACCTCGCAGCTTGGTGCATGCTAGCTTTAGAGCTCGTCAGGCTCAAGGCTTCGACAATCTTCGACACGACGGATCAGGCACCACGGGGGTTTCAAGGCGGAAAGCAAAGCCGCAAATATCAGTTTACTTGTGCAGAGAGAGCGAGAGGGAGGGGCACTGTGTGGTTGTGTATCAAAGAGATCCGCGTGGCCTCAGCTTCAACGACGCAATGACCACCGTTGGGCATGCTCAAGATCCCTGCCCATCCGGCCTTCCAGCGGATTCTGTGCCTTGTCCTCAAGCTTCTCGGAATGCATCTCCTGCCGAGTGGACTGATTATGCTTTATGCCTTCCGTCCGTGGGTTTACCAAAATTCCTGAGGTTGTTTCCAACCAGCAACGGAAGATGGCTGAATAACTCAAGCTAAGACACTAAGAGAGTAAAACAGCAACCTAGTGATCTAGGAATGGTGCCAATGCCCAAGCATGGGAGCCTCGAATGCCTCGTCTCCGTAGTCACTGCCCGGTGACACGGGGGAGGCCTGCGTGGCTGCTTGCAACATCAGGTTTGCAGTTCCGGGGTTGAGGGTTTAGGATAGTTTAGTGGAGATTTGACGGCGTGAGGTTACGTCGCTCCGTGCCCTCCACCAACACAAAACGAACGGCCTCTGCCGACCGGATGCTCGGCTCGCTCGGCACCGCCTCAGCCTCTTGCTCCGCCTTGGCCTTTGGGCAGGGTACGTGTAGTGTCGGGAACATTTACGTAATTTCACTGCGACGACGGAGGATGCATTGGGAAGCGTGGCTATGGTCTACATGCACCACAAGGACCACCCACAGCAGGCCCAACCCCCTCGCCCGGCAATCATATACTTCTGCAGGATTGCGAGACTGGAGCGTGATCACACAGGGAATTTCAACACTGGAGCTTGAGCAGAATTCTTGGGGCGGTTTGCTGCCTCACATGTCATGCTTGAAGCAGTGTTTCTAGTGAGTCGGGCTTGCGAGCTTGGGCTTGGACTTTGCGACGGATTTAGTGCATGAAGGGTCATGCCAAAGGAACCAAGACATGTTGAATCATTGATCGCATTTTCTCTGTCGCTTCATGACAACTTACGTCAAGGAAACCTCAGTCCAATTCGCCTCTGCAGAGGAAGGAGCGTGTGCAGCGACCTCTGGAAGGGGCTGACCTCGCAGCTTGGAGTGCGGAGGACTTGTCTGAGCTCGTCAGGCGCAAGGCGTCGACACGACAAACCAAGCACCACAAATCACAGCTCCACTCATCAGTTAATAGAGAGCGAGGGAGAGACAGTGTGTGTGTGTGTGTGTGTGCATGTGTATCGAAGAGATCCGTGTGGCCTCAGCTACAACGAAGCAATGACCACCATTGGGCATGCTCATCCCATGCACTTTCTAACACCAGATTCCAGCCCATGCGGCCTTCCAGCGGATTCGGTGTCTTCTCCTCGACCTTCTCGGAATGCATCTCCTGTCCAGTGGACTGATTAGGCCTTCCGTCCGTGTGTGCAAAAGAAGTTTCTTATGGTGTGTCCAACCAGCAACAGAAGACGACTGGACAACTCCAACTAAGAGATTAAAAGCATGATCTAGCGATATCGGTGCCAATGCCCAGGCATGAGCGCCTCGAATGCCTCGTCTCCATACTCACTGCTCCGCGACACAGGGGATGCCTGCGTGGCTGCTTGCAACATCGGGTTTAGGGCTTCGGGGTTTAGGGTTTACGGCTCAATAAGTTAGGGTTCGGAAACAGTTTTGACTGCTTCGGCTAGCCGGGATCTGAACATTAAATTCCTCTGAAGCTGCATCACTCCGTGCCCTCCACCAACGCACAGCAGAACGGCCTCTGCAGACCGGATGCTCGGCTCGCTCGGGACGGCCTCTGGCTCCGCCTTGGCCTTCGGCTGGTTTTCCGTTTCTAGCGAGGGGCCCGTGTACCAAGTTTACAAGCCAGCCTTAATGTCAGCAAGGCCCCTAAGCCACAACTCGTACCATAGGTTTGCCTGCGACACTTGTTGTCCGGGCTCCAATCTCCGCCTTCTAGACCAAAGTACCCCTGATGTCGCCTCCAGTGGTAAAGAGGCGACCTCGGGCACTGGTGCACCTTGCACTTTTGGCGGGCTCCATCATGTAGGGACTACTGAAGTCACGAAGGTACAGAGAGCACTTGTGTATACAAAGAGCAAACTCCCAGTCGGTGATCGAGTGTCAAGCCAACATGCGCACCCGAACGAAGAATTTCTACATCGGATCCAGTTTGCCTGGCCTGCTGCGGGCTTGAGTGGCTTGTCCTCCAACTCCTTCGAAGCCTGCTCCTGCCCAGGCACAACAGCACAGGTATAGGCGGATTGTATGTCGTGTGTATGTGTAGAAACCTTGCTGCACGTACTGCTCAAGGAATAGCCGTCACCTGCTGCCGCTTCCGCTGGGGTTTATGCAGATGCAAGGCAGATGTTGAAGTTGATCCTCTTGATGTCGTTGCCGTCGCCGCGTTGCTAGTACCATTGCTGTTGTTTTTGTCCCGTGTGAGTGCGAGTTAAGTCTGTTTGTGTAAACGAAGTTCCTTCAGGTGTCTGCAACGAAGAGAGCGGGACAACTCCAACTGAGAGAGTAAAAAAGTGATCTAGCGATATTGCAGCGGATATTGCAGCGGTGCCAATGCCCAGGCATGAGCGCCTCGAATGCCTCGTCTCCATACTCACTGCTCCGCGACACAGGGGATGCCTGCGTGGCTGCTTGCAACAACAATAAGTTAGGCTTCGGAGATAGTTTTGACTGCTTCGGCTGGCCGGGATCTGAACATTAAAATCCTCTGAAGCTGCATCACTCCGTGCCCTCCACCAACGCACAGCACAACGGCCTCTGCCGACCGGATGCTCGGCTCGCTCGGGACGGCCTCTGGCTCCGCCTTGGCCTTCGGCTGGTTTTCCGTTTCTAGCGAAGGGCCCGTGTACCAAGTTTACAAACCACCCTTAATGTCAGCAAGGCCCCTAAACCACAACTCGTACTATAGGTTTGCCTGCCAAACGTGTTGTCCGGGCACGTCTATGCCTCGCCCTCCAATCTCCGCCTTCTAGACCAAAGTAAGACCCCTGATGTCGCCTCCAGTGGTAAAGAGGCGACCTCGGGCGCTGGTGCACCTTGCACTTTTGGCGGGCTCCATCATGTAGGGACTACTGAAGTCACGAAGGTACAGAGAGCACTTGTGTACAAAGAGCAAACTCCCAGTCGGTGATCGAGTGTCAAGCCAACATGCGCACCCGAACGAAGAATTTCTACATCGGATCCAGTTTGCCTGGCCTGCTGCGGGCTTGAGTGGCTTGTCTTCCAACTCCTCCGAAGCCTGCTCCTGCCAAGGCACAGCAGCACAGGTATAGGCGGATTGTATGTGATGTGTATGTGTAGAAACGTTGCTGCCCGTGCTGCTCAAGGAGTAGTCGTCACCCTGCCGCTGCCGCTGGGGTTGATGCAGATGCAAGGTAGATGTTGAAGCTGATCCTGTTGATGTCGTTGCCGTCGCCGTGTTGCCAGGACCATTGCTGTTGTTTTCGTTCTGTGTGAGTGTGTGTTAAGTGTGTTTGTCTAAATGAAGTTCCTTCAGGTGTCTCCAACGAAGAGAGCAGGAGAACTCCCACTGAGAGAGTAAAAAAGTGATCTAGCGATATTGCAACGGTGCCAATGCCCAGGAATGAGCGCCTCGAATGCCTCGTCTCCATACTCACTGCTCCGCGACACAGGGGATGCCTGCATGGCTGCTTGCAACATCGGGTTTAGGGTTTCGGGGTTTAGGGTGTACGGTTCAACAATAAGTTAGGCTTCGGAGATAGTTTTGACTGCTTCGGCTGGCCGGGATCTGAACATTAAAATCCTCTGAAGCTGCATCACTCCGTGCCCTCCACCAACGCACAGCACAACGGCCTCTGCCGACCGGATGCTCGGCTCGCTCGGGACGGCCTCTGGCTCCGCCTTGGCCTTCGGCTGGTTTTCCGTTTCTAGCGAGGGGCCCGTGTACCAAGTTTACAAGCCAGCCTTAATGTCAGCAAGGCTTCTAAACCACAACTCGTACTATAGGTTTGCCTGCGACACTTGTTGTCCGGGCACTTCCATGCTTCGCCCTCCAATCTCCGCCTTCTAGACCAAAGTACCCCTGATGTCGCCTCCAGTGGTAAAGAGGCGACCTCGGGCGCTGGTGCACCTTGCACTTTTGGCGGGCTCCATCATGTAGGGACTACTGAAGCCACGAAGGTACAGAGAGCTACAAAGAGCAAACTTCCAGTCGGTGATCGAGCGTCAAGCCAAAATGCGCACCCGAACGAAGAATTTCTACATCGGAACCTGTTTGCCTGGCCTGCTGCGGGCTTGAGTGGCTTGTCTTCCAACTCCTCCGAAGCCTGCTCCTGCCCAGGAACAGCAGCACAGGCACAGGCAGATTGTATGTCGTGTGTAGAAACCTTGCTGCCTGTACTGCTCAAGGAATAGCCGTCACCTGCTGGCGGTGGGGTTTGCAAGGCAGATGTTGCAGTTGATGCTGTTGATAGCGTTGCTTGCGCTTTGTTGGCATTGCTGCTGCTGCTCCGGCAGCTGCTGTTGCTGGTGCAGTTTCAGTTGCAGCTGCTGCTGCTGCTGCTGCTGCCGCGGCGGCTGTGGCTGATGCTGCTGCTTGCTGCTGCTGCTTGCTGCTGCTGCTTGCTGCTGCTGCTGCTGCTGCTGCTGCTGCTGCCACTGCTACTGCCGCTGCCGCTGCCGGTGCTGGCAGCAACGGGCAGATTGCATGTCGTGCTTAGAAGAACCCTGCTGCCACTGGGGTTCATGCAGATGCAATGCAGATGTTGATGCGGTCGGTGTCGCTTTTGCTGCTGCTGCTTTTCCGTTGCTGTGGCCGCTGCTGCTCATGGTGCTGCTACTGTTGCTGTTGCTGCTTTTGTGTTGCTGCTTTTGCTTCTGCAGCAACTGAAGACGAAGATTGTGAATCAATGATGATGATCATCATCATGATCATGATCATGATACTGATACTGATGATGATACTGATTATGATATTGATGATGATGGCGATGCTAGCGATGATGATGACGATTATGACAACGATCAAGAAGAAGATAATGATGCTGGTGCTCATGCTGATGCTGTTGCCGTTGCTCCTGCTCTTGCCGTCGCTGCTGCTGCTGTTGCTGCTGCTTCTGCTGCTGCTCCTGCCGTGGCTGTTGTTGCTGCTGTTGCTGCTGCCCCTGCCGCGGCTGTTGTTGCTGCTGTTGTTGCCGCTTGCTGCTGCTGAAGCTGCTGGCGCTGTTGTTGCTGGCGTTGATGTTGCTGTTGCTGTTGCTGTTGCTGGTGTTGCTGTTGCTGTTGTTGTTGTTGTTGTTGTGCTGAGCTGTTATTGCTTGTTTGCTGTGTGTTGCTGTTTGCTGTTTGTTACTGGCTTCCGCGTAGTGGTGGTGGTGGTGGTGGTGGTGGTGGTGGTGGTGGTGGTGGTGGTGGTGGTGGTGGTGGTGGTGGTGGTGGTGGACGTGGTGGTGTTGGTGGTGGTGGTGTTCTTATTGTTGCTATTGATACTATTGATACTGTTGTTGTTCTGTTTATGCCAGAATCAGTGTTGTTCTTGCTTGTATTGGTGCCGTTCCTGTCGCTGCTGGTGTCGTTGCTGTTGTCGGCGTTGATGTTGGCGGAGCTGTTAGTGTTAATGTTGGCATTGTTGTTGATGTAGTTGCTGTTGTTGTTGATGCCGTTGCTGCTGTTTCGCGTCGTCGCTGGTGTTGTTGTTCTTGCTGCTGCTGGTGTTGGTGTTGGTTTTGCTGCTGCTGCTGCTGCTGCTGCTGCTGCTGCTGCTGCTGTTTTGAGTCAGTTTCTGTGCGTTCTTTGAGTCGGCTACGGTTTTGTGTGCAGTGGCGGCAGGAGGGGGGCCATTGGTGGTGCCAGTTCTTCCTTGTTTTCAAGGAAGCCTTTCGGAGGTTGTTTGCTGCAGCCGAACAGTGGAGCTTTCCAGATGAACAAGTCGTGAAGCGTGCAACTCTGAACCGCAGAAGACCACTCGTGAGCGCACCAACTTGTTGAGCAAGTCAACAAAAGTCCACGCACGCACGTGCAGAAAGATGCAGCTTGCCTCAAAAGCCTCGTCCGAATAGTCGCTTTCCCTTCCAGTGGGAGCTGCCTGCATCACTGCAAGAAGAAGATACGAGCTTCGACGCTCATTGTTCAGAAAAAGCGTGCGGGAGGAAAAAACATGAACAGACATAAACCCCTATCCGAAGCCTCGAGGGTTCAAGCACCCTGACAAGTTGTCATACAAGAGTCTCAGCTTTCATGAAACAAATCTTGCTTTGGGGCCGCATTTTTTGCGTGGAACAAGGGGAATACAGTATCTCACAGGGCACGATGCAAGGTCCGTGGTACTCCGCACACACACACACACACTGACTGAGAGATCAATAAGACTGCAGGCTCTGGTAACATAGGGGCCATAATAATTCGAACAGGGTTCGTGGGCGCAATTGTTATTATGCAGTGACAACTATGATAAGAAACCCTAAAGCAAACTACTACGAAGTATTCGCCCCCTATAGTAGCTTCGGAAGGAAGCCGAAATTTGTCTTCCGTCGGCTTTGCGACTCGGGCAGAACGTTATCAGACAACATGGGTGTTCGATAGAGTTCCTGCAGAAGCCTCCGGTGGACTTGTGAGAAGGCGGCGAAGAGGCTCTGATGCTGCCGCATGTGGTACTCCAGATGTACATGGTTCTAACGCCGGGTTATGTAGAGCTTTCAATAAAAGCAAGGCCTGAAGTTCATCCTGAAACAAAGACAAAACCCAAGAGCCCCAAAACATGAAACCTGAAAGTCAGCACTGCGTCCTCTGCGGGGGAAGGTGCACGGACGACGACCCCGGCGGCCTTCTGACCTCGCAGCTTTGTGAAAAGATGTACGGACCCCAATGAGAACAATGCAAGCATGGGAGGTCCGAGTAGTTCAGCCAGCACGGAAAAGTACCAGTAGTAGTCATCGTCGTAGTAGTAGTAGTGGTAGTAGTGGTAGTAGTGGTAGTGGTAGCAGCAGAAGAAGAAGTAGTAGTACAGTAGGAGTAGCAGTAGCAGCAGCAGTAGCGGTAGCAGTGCCAGTGGCAGTAGCAGTGGCAGTAGCAGGAGCAGGAGAAGGAGTCGGAGAAGGAACCGCAGTAGCATTAGCAGCAGCAGCAGCAGCAGGGGGGGGAGGAGTAGCAGCACTACTTCGGTGGTGATGGTGGTTCCACCAAGCAGGAAAGAACCAGCTTCTATACTCCAGGAATAAATCCGAGCTCCAACCGAGAAATGCTCGTCGGCGAACCATCCTGCAAACCCTCGTGAAGCCCCTCATAGCGACCCTTATCGCAACCCTCAGAGTAACACCTACAGGAACCCTTAAGAGCTCTTATGGTGAACCTTGCAGCAACCCCTATACTGAAACGCCCAAACCCATCAAGCCCTTCCTTACAATGACCCATAGTTTTGCAGCAACCTTTATAATAACCCCTATAAGACTGCCTCAAAGCCCAACAAGACCCTCCAACCTAACCCTAACCTTCAACCCCAGACCCTAAAACCTAAACCCTGAACCATAAACCTAAAACCGTAAAACTCAAACCCTAAACACTAAACCTGAAAACACCTATGTAAACCCGAAGCCCTAAAACCCAAACCCTAAACGCTAAACCTGAAATCCCCCTATGTAAACCCTAAACCCGAAAACCAAGACCCAAGACACTAAGCCTGAAACCCCCTATGTAAACCCTAAGCCCTAAGACTCAAACTCTAAACACTAAACCTGAAAGCCTATATAAACCCTAAGCCCTTAAATCCACACCACCCGGCCTCCGGAAGGCTCGGTTGCTTCCTCTTGGAGCTCTTCAGAGACCTGCTCCTGCTATGGGAAGTCGTCTTTGTGCGGTGAGGGTTTAGAGTTGAGGGGTTTCAGGATTCCTTTCAAGAGATCCATAAGGGATCCTATAAGGGTTACTATAAGGGTTCCTTTGAGGTTTCCTTTCAAGGATCCTACAAAGGCTCCTATAAGGCTCCTTATGGGAATTCGTCGTTGTGAGAGGTGTTACTTTTAAGGTTTCCTTTCAAGGGTCCTATGAAAGCTTTTTGGGGGGGTTCTTGTGACGTGTGACTTTAAGGTTTCCTTTCAAGGGTCCTATAAGGGCTCCTAGAAAGCATTTTTGGGGGATTCTTTGTGAGAGGTGTTGCTTTAAGGTTTTGTTTGCAGGGTTCCTAGAAAGGTTCCTCTATAATTCTTGTTGGGGGTCATTGTTTAGTTTTGTGGTCTTCTTGGGGCTTCGGTTGAGGGGTTGGCGCCTGGGATTTACATTGGAGTGCAGGGGCTTGGGACTGAGGTTGCAAAGTTTTGGCTTCCTGGGAGGCCCCGGCATAAGAAATAGTATTGATTTGTGGCCCCTACAAAAGACACACTGAACAATGGACTGTCCTTTACCACCAGGAATCCGAAACCCCTCTTAAAATACCCCTAAATCCTAAATCCCGAAGCCCTACTACCCCAGCCCGGACCCTCTTACCCTAAACCCTGAACCCCAGACCTTCTTAATTTTAAACTCACTGAACCTCAGGCTGACAGCTCCAGCGACCCGAATGTGATATGATATTCTTCAGCCCTAGAGTACTCCAAGGCCTAAAACCTAGTTTCCAAAAACGGTCAACCTTTTCTATCTCTAAGGTAGCTTTCAATGCCTAGAGTCTGGCCTAGAGACAGCCCGAGCCTCGCGCAGGGGTGTTAACAATTGTACTAGGGTTTGGGGGGAGAATATTGGATATTGTACTATAGTTATTTGAGGGAACCCCAACGAATTGGCGTTTTACTATAGGTATCTGAAGGAACCCCAATCAATGGGATGGTAATGAATAACTTAGCCCGCTGTGTTGCTACACCGAAAAATCAAGAGTCAGCTTGAAGGAGGCCAGTAGCAATGCAAGGGCTCGGGGTTTCGGGTTTCAGGCTTAGGTTTCGAGTTCTGGGAATCCACCAGCAGCCAGCAGGCCTCAAAAGGCTCGTCTGAGTAGTCGCTGTACTTCCCGGCGGTCGATGCCTGCAACGCTCGGCTCCCTCTCTCTTTCTATCTCTCTATCTCTCTATCTCTCTATCTCTCTATCTCTCTATCTCTCTCTCTCTCTCTCTCTCTTTCTCTCTTTTTATGCACTTTGTTTATGTATGACATATGTTTGGATATAACCTATAAACCCTGAATGCCAAATTCCCAAGCCCTAAGCCTGCAAGAGGGTGGAAGTCAGGAAACAGGCACAGTGCGGTGTGCTGAGTGCTACGGCTACGGGGGATGCACAGCATGCACTTCTTCTGCTGACTACTGTTGTCCAGGATGCTTACAATGGCTTACAAATATTCTCCTTGTGGCCGCAATATAATGTCACCGGAGACGCTCTCGAACCAAATGACAGCAATCTTGCCCTACCGCTATCCTTCTGGGCAGTGCCAAACTTCCCCCTCACTGAACCGCGGCACTGCGGTGGTGGTGGTGGCGTTGGTGGTGCTGCTGCTGCTGCTGCCGCTGCTGCTGCTAGAGCTTACCACGACGACGACGACTACTTCTACTTCTACTTCTACTCTTCTTCTACTTCTACTTCAACTTCAACTTCAACTTCAACTTCAACTTCAACTTCAACTTCAACTTCTACTTCTACTTCTACTACTACGACGACGACGAATGCTACCACTGCAAATACTGCTACTGCTACTACCGCCGCCGGCGCAGCAAACACCACCACCACAACCACCACCACCAGCATCGCCACCGGAGACAACGGCGACTCCTACTCCCACTACTACTGTACGCCTACTGCCTTTGCGCTACGAGGTACAGTACATGCATCTTGCCGAATGCTGCGCACGAGTCATGTTCTCATGATGGGAGGCCAAAAGGGGGTTTAAGATTCTTGGGGTAGGGATTCCTTATCATGAACCCTAATCCCTACTAAACCCCCATCGGCTAAAACCCGTTTTGGCCTCCTATGATGTCAGAGCTGAGGTATTGGCAGGGCGATCGGAAGACGCGGCCACATCCGTCGGACCGCCTGCGAGGCTTCTCTGGCTCTGGCTTTGAGCAATTCAGGGGGTCTCAGCAGAGATCTCTAGACTCCAGCCTTGAGAAACTTTAAAGTACCTCCCTACCTTCAACCTTCATAAGGTATATTGAACCAACAACACTCTCTTTTGGGGTGTTGAAGACGCCGGGGGCATTGAATAACTTACAGCAGAGTCGACGGGCCAAGGCTTGGCCACGGTGACACGAGGCAAATCTGAACGTACACGGTTGACTGAGCTTCCCGCACAACAAAGCACTCCAAACCTTCACACGTCTGCCCTTCACCGTTGAACGTTCCCATAATCAGAATCCAAGTGGGAGTTTCCGAACTTAGGGATACCTTAATTTGGGTCCTTGTAAGTAAGGACCCTACTAGTTAGTAGGGTACTATACTACTCCCCCATTTTCGGAAACTCTCACAATAAGATCTACAAAAGGCCGGAAGCATTGGGAGCCTGGAGCTGCGGCTGGACCGCCACTGGCAGGTTTGTCTTCAGGCTCCTCCAAGACAGCGAGCACACAACATGGAATCGCATGACATAGGTGCCTTAAGAATTAGACTAGAATTTTGGGGCCCATTTACTATAACAATAGCAACAAAATAGAAATATCAATAATCATAACACTAATAATAAGGAACCTCGAAATAGTATTGGTAATCCTTTCGGCCCAGATAGTGCCGACTTGTTATAGGCTTGAGAGGCACCGGCCCGGTGGAGGGAACAGCTTGCGCTGCAAATAGAACTTTGACATCGAAAGTAACGTAGAGGCCTGGAGAGTTAGAATCGGGTTCCTTTAAAGGGATCCTGTATAAAGGGGTCTATAAGGGATCTGTAGTAGAGTTCTATAATAATATGGTGGCCTGAATAATTTAATTGAATGGGTTGTGCGGGCTCCTTCCTATTCTGATTATCAAGGCCCCAATATTACGTTCGATAGACAGACGGCTTTCTCCTGGATTCGAGACACTTTGTGACCCTGGTCACTCTTGCACCAAACAACCCTAAACCACTATTCCTCAAACCCTAAACCCCTACATCCCTCAACCCTAAACCCCTAGACCCCTAAACCCTAAGAAACCACGAAGAGCAAGAGCCTCCTCGAAGTCTTCCGAGCCGTAGCTGCTGTCAGCCTTCGGTTCATCCTCCTGCTGGCGCCGATTTAGGGTTTAGGGTTTTCGGGTTTAGGTTTTAGGGCTTGGGGTTAGGAGGTTAGGGGTTTAGGGTTCTCGGGTTTAGGGATTATGGGTTTATATTTCATGCCTGCTTTATAGCAGACGCATCACGTGATGTTTGCCAGCTGCCGTACTGAGACACTATATAGTCCATGATAGACTACTGTAGCAGATCACAGTATTTTTATCATCGGCCACAAAGATGCATGATGAGGCTACCCAGGACCTACCTCAGATCCACTAAGTCTCTAAGGTTTGTTCAAGACACGTGCAGTGGGTTCTTTGCAGCCTGACTCGTTGACTAAAAGCCTTTGCAGTGCGGACTTGTCAGACATGGGCGACTGTTACAAAAGCTTATCTTCACCTCGAAACTTCGAGGCCCCGTGTGTTTAAGCAAGATTGTGACAGGCTGACCTCTCAGCTTGGGAAAGCCACATTATGCAGTGGAGCATTCTAAACACAGAAGCTCCTAATCTTTTCTTGAAGCCAAAGACCTCGCACCGAGTGAAATCTTGACGCGGGAGAGTGACGCTATACATCAAAGCCTCCAAGCCCACGCTGCCCATTGCATTCCATCCATATAATAAGAATACTAATAATAACAAAGATTGACAATACTGATGCTACTTGTAATAATCCTAAGTCCCTATGATTGCATCCCCGAACTCTTCAATTCCTCTCTTTTCATCTTGCCCCAAAGCCCTCCTTGATCTTTGACGTAGCTTGCCCCTCCTGGCCTGGGAGTGGATTGACGAATTGGGGATTGTCGCTCCCGGACTATCAAGGTCTCGAGACGAGGGAGGCACAGACTATTTGCAAATTCTAAAAACTAGCACAAACCCTACATCCTCACACCCTATAGGCCACATGGTGCTCCAACTTCAAGCCACGCATTCTCCGAGCTGGGATTGCAATGTTTCGGCCCGGGTTTGACATGCGCAAACTCGCACAAACATTCTGTTTCGAGGCAGACTAGACACTGAGTGCGACAGCACGTGAAAGACGCATGGAATCGGACATGACAGAACCAAGGCCTGCAGTCAACACAAAGTAGAGAGCAACGATAACGGGAGCTTTGTCAATCGTGAAGATGCCGATGAATCCTACCATGCCCCGTCTTGGTACGACGGCCAATTACATCTAGAGACTAATCCATGGGCTCATATGAACGTGTGTTGCGCATGCTAAATCTTAAATGCCCAGCAACGCGTCAAGATGGTTACCTGTTACCTCAGTAAACAAAACCGCATGTAGAATCTTTTCAACGGACAAAAACTTCTCGTCGAAACTTCATCAGTTTACTGGATGCCAAAGCTTCCAAAACCTGCAGCCGGTCTGCTTGAGAAGAAGCACTCCGACACATTCCAAGTACGGTGCGACCGCCATGCGACGTAACTATGCACAACGCATTAAATGTTGGCAAAGCTGCCCGAGCCCGCAACCCGCAAAAGGTGTTGGGGCTTCTCACTAGTAGTGGTCAACCCGAAGTTGACCGGTTGCCCCAACAGCTTGCTGCGCCATGTAAAATGAAGCCCAAGCCTAAATACCAGCTCGAACGTGGCACAAATAACGCCTAAACCCGCAACCCTAAACCCTAAGCGTAGAAGATCTGGATGTCTTCAAAGGCATCTCGTGGCTCCGTGTTGTAATAGGACTCGTTAGGAATTGGAATTCAGGATCCGAGCTGTCAAAAGCCTTTAGGAGTCTATTGCTTTCAGGATTAGACAAACATGTAACTTGCCTTGAAGTAGGAGTCGCTAGTGTGTGACAACGTAAGCAAATCTTCCAACACCACACAAGGTGACTATGTTGCAAGTGAATGAGCTTTCTGTAACCAAGCAAGTCGGTTCATCAAACACAAGACAATCACAAGAAAACCTGCTCACTCAAATCAGAACCTTCCTCTTCTTTCCAGCGTCTTCAAACAGGTCAGCGGCGACACATGCGAGAGCTCACGAGATGATGGGTGGCAAACCCAAACCCTAAAAGGAGTGATGGTTGGCAAACCCTACATTCGAAAAGGGAGCCTGCTTCCTCGCTCATGTCAGACCACCCCTGCAGCCAGCGCTCGCCAGCTCGAACCGTAGAAGCTTAGCCTGTATCCGAAGACACCACAGGTCGAGCCATCAATCGTAAACCGGCTCCCTCAAACCCAAGCTGTCGGATTTGCAGCTAGAGCCCTCACTCTCACATCAAAAGCCTGTGAGACGGCAGTGCCTGAGTATGCAGGCTGACATGAAAGCTCCAACATAAAAAAAAAAGAAACGAAGCTAAGCGTTTCCAAACTCTATATCTTGAACCTGCATCTCCAACGTCCGACAACAATCTGAACCACGAACCTGTCTGCTCGAATCCAAAATCCCGGACTCTTGCAGCACCCTCTGCTTGAAATCTGAAATCGACGACAGCAGCACTGTCAACATATCCCTCTAGCGACTCTAGCACTGACGGCATGCCAAGACTAGAGGTGAGGAGAAAGCTCCAAACCCCGAACCAAAGGCTAATTCAAAAAGCTCTTCAAACCTTGCATAGAAACGCACATATACATTTATGCAAAGAGGAAACGGGTACACAGAAAACTCTATCTATCTTTAACCTGTAGATGACATCATAAGCTGTGTTTCTTCATGCATGTGTGCCTGCATGCAAATAAACACATCTGTTTCTTCACCAAGGTCGTTGTGTACGTTTTGCAGGAGTGGCTGCCTTGCAGAAATTGTCTCTTACAGACTCTGCTGCTGCTACTGCTACGACGACGACTCTGACTCCGACTCCGACTCCTCCTCCTCCTCCTCCTCCTCCTACTAATACTATAATGAGAAAAGCTCCTCCTTCCCCCCTCCTCCTCCTCCTCGTCCTACTCCTGCTCATACTCTTAATCCACTATTACTGCGTTTTGCTGGCACTGCTGCTACTGCTGCTACTGCTACTGCTACCAATCATGCGAAGAAGACCTAAAACTTTAAACCTGGAGACACAAAGGTGAGAGAAGATTCAAACAGTGACAGACGAGTCTAAGCCTCAACAAAATGAGAATACATGCGAAATCTCAAAGGCTCGAATCCTGGCCCTGATATGCCCTGTCCGTAAGAAGTCCCCGTCCCCGAATCCTGACTGGATTCCTTAACATGACAGCCGAAACTTCTTTAGGGTTTAGGGGCTTAGGGGTTTAGGGGTTTAGGGTTCCGGGTTTAGGGCACATCTTTGCAGCCACATCGCCGACCGTCTCGGCAGGGCCATCGTCTTGAGAGGCATCCTCCGGGAATTGCCACGATGTGCGCAGGGGCGTGGCAGCTTCAAGCTTTGTGCTAAGAGTCGGGGTCGGGCGCTGGCTGCTCTGGTTTTAACTTCGGTGTTCTCACTGTGCGCAACATTCCAAAAAAAAGCGTCTGCGGTATCATCACCAACAGCTGGTTTCTGCTAACAGGATCTTCAAACCTCATTTCAAGAAGTTGATTCCTTCAACCGAAATAGAGGCAGGCATGCCCGAAACAGTTGAACCAAGCCCCTCTAAAGCCCTAAATCCTAACCCCTAAATCCCTATAAAAATCCCTATCTAAATCCCTATATCCCCAACCCTAAACCCCTAAAGCCCTAAACCCTAACCCCTAAACCCCAAGCCCTTATAAGGCCCCCGAAGCTTGGAGGCCCCCAGATCGGGACAATTCGCGCTAAGATTTCTAAGTGCATGAGGATAATGTCGATGTTCCAACTTTCGGGCTTCCATCAAGATAGCCCAAAAGCCTTACATAGTATGGTCTTTGGGCCCAAAAGCCACTGAATATATGAGACCTTAAAACCCCCTAAACCCTAAACCCCCTAAACCCAAAACCCGAAACCCCAAAACCCTAAACCCGAAGGACACGCCTCGAAGTCTTCATCTTCGTAGTCGTCCTCTATACTCATCTTTGGCGCCGGCGCTGTGGGCTCCGGTGCAGCCGGGCTTTCCTTCGTTGGGACTACTTGGAGGATCCCTTTTTAGGGTACTATAGGGTTCTATAATAGGGTTCCTTAAAGGGATCTATAAGGGGTCTATAATGGGAGGATCACGGGACATAGTAAGTATGGATATCATGATATAAGTACCTTAAGAGGGGTTATAAGTTATTGTAAGTATAGCCACCTTAATTATAACCCTAGTTACTAAGTCCCATGATCCTCTAAGTACAGTTTCAGGGCTCCCTTGAAAGGGTTCCTTAAAGGGGTCTATAAGGGATCTATAGTAGGGTTCTGTAACGTAGGACATCGGCTCCTAAGCCAGACGTGCAGGGAAAGAACCAGAACGGCAGAAGAAAGCCGACCAATCAATGAACTCTCATGGAAGCAACGAACACTGCATTGAGGAATCGATTCCCTGCCGGCACCGTGAGCACTGCACTAAATCTACATTTGGACGTAGTAGTGCCGAGAGTACTACGTGGCTAGTATGTTCGTCGTTTCCCCAGAGCATCCTCATTGCAGGACGTGTCGAAAGGCTAGTATTGACGCTTCCATGAATACCAATATTATGCCTTGCGCTTCCTTCTCATAACGATTCTATAACATACCCCAAAACCGAATTTAAATCGACAACGAGAGTCTTAGAGGGAACCCTGAGCCCGAAGTTCCCAGGACCGGACCAAACCCAAGGCGAAGGTGATCCAAGGAATTGAGTTCCTTGAGTTCCTAGCCATGTTTCCATGCTGTTAAGGGTCACTATACTGAACTTAGAACCCTAGCAAAAATTATTATTTTAGCTGTTTCTTAGGGATTATAATAGCCAAAAATTAAAAAAAAATCAGTACCCCTAAGGTCATAAGACAACAAGAAAGCCCAATAGAGCCCTACGCCGTGCCAGGATCTGAAGGCAAACGGCATAAAGCAAAAACACAGCATGGAGTGCGAATGATTGAACAGAGTCTCAAGAACCCGTACAGCAACTGATAAAGCCACAAGCAATCAGAAATGTTCTTCACGCCTTGACAACCCACATACCCAGGTGTAAACTCAACTCAAGCAGAAGCTTCCTCAAACCCTGTCGGTCCTTCTCCGCCTTCATGTCCGAGTGCCCGGTCAGGTTGTTATTGTTCGGCGTTGTAGCGGCCTGTGGGTTCTGCGAGATTTGGGGCGAAGCCTGACCCCTAAAAGGTGTAGAAACTCTATACTGAAGACATATGGGGAGTTTCCGAAAACGGGGGACCCTGGTATCGTACCCTAAATAGTAGGATCCCTATTATAAGGACCCCAAACTAAGGTACCCCTAATTTTCGGAAACTCTAAACGTAGTAGTAGTAGAGGCACCGTCAACTACACTGGAACGTGTCTTGGGTCCCTGATCTGTCATGAATATACCCTAAACCCTAAACCCTAAACCCTGAACCCTGAACCCTTAACCCTTAACCCTAAACCCTAAACCCTGAACCCTAAACCCTTAAACCCTAAACCCTAAACCCTTAAACCCTAATAACAGGGCCTGAGTCGTTGAGGACAAGAACACATCTAGTTCTGTATGCCCAGACCCTCACCCAAACCCTTGAACCCCTGGCCCGTAAACCAGAAGTCCCTAAACCCCAAACCGATTTAGGACCCAGACATCGACCAATCAAGAAATCTCCAGCTTGGATGGTCATGCCCTAGCCTAGGAGTAAGGCTCTAGACTCTTGACATCTCATCTGCAAACTGCTACACTTGCACCGCAAGCGGTTTGCCATCACCGAACCCGAAACCCACGTACAAGAAGGCGAGATGTCTTTTCAGATTATTCCGGCATACCCCAGCCTTTCTAGGACACTTCTTCAGTTCTGCAGGCGTTCCCGAAGCCCCGTTATCCCGACCAGAACCAGTCTAGACGCCCGAAACTACAATCACTCCCGATCCGCCCCAGGGCCTTGATAGAATCAGCTGCCGGTGCGTCCTGTCATTTTATTATTCAAAATTATAGTAATATAATAATAATAATACAATAGTAAATAATAATAATAGTAGTAGTGAAAATGGCAGTAGTTTAGGACTCCAAAATTTGTTCACAGCTCATCGTTCGGAGATTAGGGCGAAGCAGCAAGGGCAGCCGAGGCGTGAAACCCACAACAAAAGTCGGTGGTTGTTGCGGCTGTGAACCCTGAACCCTAAAGCCCTAAAACCCTAAACCCTTGAGTTTGTAAAACTTTTGTCAAGCTTCCACGGCCTTGGCAGGATGTGGTTGCGACGAATTCACCACTTCGTTGGGCCTGGACACCTCCTGCAAGCGTGCAGGCTTCTGGGACGTTGGGGGCTATTAGGGGCTCAGGGTTTAGGATGGGTTCAGGGCTTAGGGACATTATAGAGTTTTCTCTAAGGGTTGAGGATTTATGTTGCTTAGGCCCCAAAACCCTGGAACCCCAAAGAGAAAAGAAGTCCGTAGCACTTGCAACGATAGGTGCCCAGACTCCAGAAAAGCTAAATACTACAGGAAAAGCCTGGCGAAAGAAGGAGCTCTCAGCACTTGTACCCTTATGTTGCTTGAGGCTCAATATGATATGCGTGATCGTACACAGACTTAGACATGAACAGACTCTGAAGGTCCGGAGAAAGGCGTATGTCTCGTCTACCACAGTCGAGGGCCATTTGTCAGCGCTGCTGTCATTCATGGTTGTTGTCAAATTGTCGGTCCCAGATTCCACTTACGACTGTCATTGTCATTGCAAGGGTCCTCTTCTTCTTCCGGCTCCTCTTCGAAATCATCGCCATATTCATCGCCGTACTCGCCGTCGTTCTGCCTACGAAGGACACAGGGGGCTACGGTCCTCGGTGGGCCAAACTTGAAATCCTGTAATGTAGGGGCCTAAATACTTAGAACCGGATCTTGGGGGGTTCCTTATTATAACCATGGTATAGTATACCTCCACATTAAATTAAACCCTAGTCTAATTATTAAGGCCCCCTACAGTAAAAGTCGCGGAGCTGGAGACCTGAAGATGCCCCGATGTTCTCAGTCAGAAAAGGATGGAAACTGAGGTTTCAGTTCCGAGAATCACGAGTGGGGACCCAGAGACTCCAATACCCCTTAATTAAGGAATATTCCTTAAATCATATTAGGGATCCTACTATAATTTAAGGTATATTCCTTAATTATGGGATATTGGAGGCTCTGGGGAGGGGAGGGGAGGGGAGGGGTCTCGGGGTTCCATTGATGTCCAAGCTCCGAGACTCGTCACCTTACACCCCCGCACTCCTTTCAGCGGAGTTTCCAGGGCCCGGACCTCTTAAACGCTTTCCTGAAAGTCAATAGCATTGCATTTCACACTGTACATTTCAATCACTGTATGTAACATAATCAATATTCATGTAATAGCAGCCATCATCACAGCTACACCGCCACGCTCTTCTGCGAGGGTCATAGAAAAACATTCACTGTGCATCAAGGGATCTGAGAGGTACAACTTCTACGAATATACCCTGAACCCTACTTCCAAACGAAGGGCTGGACCTTGGATTGCAGCATTCGGATGTGGAGTTTAGGGTGATTCTAGGTTCGGGGTCGGGTTTGGAGTTTAGTTTAAAGTGCTTCGGGCGCCAGTGCTAACACTAAGCTCGCCAGAAACCGTAGACTGCAAACACCTTGCAAAAGTCCTGACCTGGTTTCAACCTACACACAACACCCTCAGTCGCAAGCTCAACCGCCAGTCATTCCGAAACCTATCAGGAGCACCCGCAACTACGCCACCTAGAGCCCTACACCCTAAACCCTAACACCTCAACCCAAAGACTCTGATCCTAATACCTAAGATCCCTGCACCCTCCTCGACGCTATCTTCTCCTCCTCCAGATTTCCTGGCCGCCCCAGTCCAGTAGGTTTAAGGTTTCGGAAGAAGGGGGAATGAGTCGGAACAAGCCTTGAACGATCTTTGTTTGTGGGAAGGACACAGATGAGAGCTGTGTCCGCCTCGAGTTGGGACTTGGTTTTCGGCATCTTGGAATACCGGTTCACACTTTGGGTTCGGGGTTTAGGAGTTTAGGGTATATAGGGCTTGTCAATGAGAGTTTCGCATGTACGCAGGTTACAGAGCATCTGAATAAAATTGCTGAGTTAAGCTTCCTACATTTCGAGTTTGCATCTACGGCGGATGAACTGCTTTCTAAAGCTTTTAGGGCACATAGGCTGGGAAACCGCTCAGAATTCAGATGTTGCTGCTCTGTTAATGTTCAGAACCCGATGCCTGCAAAAAGCTTTATCCGTAGGCACTACTCCCACTAATCCCTCAGTAAAAGACAAAACCTGTCGCTCACTGCCAACCTTTCTCGCACGCTGAACACCAACCGGCGCCAACAAAGACAAACATCCAGACCTCACGCCCCAAAGCTGGACAAAGACTCTTCCGGCTTTCGCATGGTTTACGGTTATGTGCAGGGCTTCACCTGCAGGGTTACGCCGGGACGACTAGATGAATCCCTGCTTGCTCACATCTGACCTGCATGTTGACATTCCCACCTTGATGCACTGTATATCGGATCCAGACAGAAATGTGAAAGCATAACCCCAACAAGAGCAATGAACATATATATATATATATATATACACACGTGTCTATATCGGAAGGCTGGTGCCTCGAATGGGCTTCAGTTTTTTTATGCAAGCCCACCTAAGTGATATGAGCTTATCGAGCGGACCCACTTTGCCATCTCGCACTCCGTGGCCTCCCGCTTGCTCCACGAACTCCTGTCATCATTCGGGTCGCAGGCGCATGGCTTTACAAATCTAATACCGGGGCCTTAATAATTAGAATAGGGTTTTGGGACCCACAATGCCATAAGTATAATAAGGCCCCCCCCCCCAAAAAAAAAAAAATGGTATAGGTAAGTGTTTAGGCCACATTTTCACACATCTATAGCGACTTGGAGCTCGAGCGATGTCTCTTTGAAAATACATGAATGGACGAAGCAAGAATAAGAACACCAATAGAAGTCACGATGTGACAATAAAGATGGAACCATGTGACTTAGGGCTAAGCGGTTTAACTGCTGCCAAGGATGCAGAAATGCTGGCTAAACCCTAATCCGTAAACCCTAAACCCCTAAACCCTAAACCCCTTAACGTCAGTGGCACGCCACTCCTCCACCTTCCCGGGTGCCACCGGCGGTATGGGAAGAATAGGTGACACCTCCGACGAATCTCAGCCCGTGAAGGGTTTAGGGGTTTAGGGCTTAATTACGGTTTTGACAGAGCTTGGCCAGGCCGGCCAGGGTTCTGGCTTTATGGAGCTTTGGCGCCTACACCTCAAACTTCCCAGCATTTAGCCCGAACCCTGAATCCGAAAGCCCCACACGCTGAAGCCCGACCCTGAAAACGAGAACCCCCGTCTGACCCCCACACCCGAAAAATCGCTCTGAAGTCCTAGCCATACCCCCCTTAGGACCACAATTAAGACTGTATGTTTAACATTGTCTTGGGTTTATATGAACCAAAATAAAAAAATCCTAAGGAGACTATAGCTAAACCACCGGAGCCCCCAAGCCTTCAGACCTTTAAAGGGTTTGGGGCTTCGTCCTAAGTGGCGAAAAGAGCCTAAATTGGGTCGTTGTCAAAATTATGGTCCCTTTTTGGGTCCCTATTATAGTACGGCACCTATAATTTAGGGTACCCAAAAAGGGACCCTAAATTTTGACAACCACCCATATGCACTGCAGCCGGAGCTTCTCCCAGAAGAGCCCGGTTAAGAAGTCTTGGGTTTGGGTCACTACCTGAACCTACCAGAACCTACCTTTTTGTTAGGGTCCCTATAAACCCCATATTATATTAGGGTTTATAATAAGAACCTACAAGAAAGGAGGGTTTAGTAGGTCTAGCTACCCTCTATTATAGCCCAAATACGCAAGATTACGGGCCATAAGGACTCTATTAAAGGGCCTTGGGGGGGTCCTGGTAGGGGTTTTGGTTTAGGGTCGGGACTTTGGTTTGAAGATCCGGATTTCGGGGGTTCGGGTTGTAGATTGTGAATACTTACAATGTCGAGAAGGGATCACGGAAAAGCAGCGATGCATCACATTGTAGCTCCCAGGAATAAAACCGATTGATGAGGGCTGTCAGTGTGCCTGAACATTGGACATGCAATGCCATGCCATGCCAAGCTTGCGCAAATGGACAACGTGACCACTACTGACCAATTTGTGGCGACAGATAGCTCTATTGCAACCTGGCTTACCCCACCCCGAACTTCACTTGTCAATGTTGCTGCAGATCAGGGCCTCTTGCCCCTTTATTCGTGGGACGTCCAAGTCTCGAACGGCCGGATTCGGATTCTGATCCTGCAGCACCGCCGGAAGACTTGAGGCTGCAGGGTGAGGATCTCTTAATGCCTCAATCCTCTCTGCTCGGGCCCATGGGGCAGCTCAAGCCAGAAGACGGTCTGCAGTTCATGGGATCGAGCCTTACCAATGGTTGGCCATTATGTTGGCCCATCTACCCCTTTATTGAACTATAGGGTATTTCTATACAACTGCACTATCGCCACGGACAATCCTCACGTTAACGCTCCATACTGTTCTTCCTACAGTTCGTTCTCCTGTTGTGGTGTTAAGTGGAACTCGCATTTCATCCCATGCCGCGGGGTCACTGAGGGATGTCATTCAAACGCCCTAAACCCTAAACCCTCTTCTTTGGTTCAGAATTCAGGGTTTGGGGACCTCGCAGGTTATTCCAGCCGAGAGCAAAGAGTGTGGAAGGAAACTAGACAAGGGTTTAGGGTTTAGGGTCGAGTCTTGGCAGCACATTTGTGTGCAGTAATATGCGATTTGGACCTGTCGTGTATGTGTAGCAGATGCCTGGCAGTTTGTATAGGCTGAGAAGCTTTGCCGTAGGCCTATCCGGCCGGCGAATCCATCTGAGAAGTCCATATAGCAGGGATGTTAAGCTTTCTTAAGAGAGTAGCGGCAGCTGTACTGATTCTGATTGCTGTTGTCATCTCTTGGCATTATGCTTCAATCGGCTGAATCGGCTGGTATGGCCGCAGGTGCACCCGGTAATGATGCTGTGTGTTGACTCGGACTCATGTTTTTTTTCGACTTGCCAACACATTCAGTGACTCAGCTGCAGCTTGGGTACGTCCGCCATCGTGTTGAATATGATGCTTGTACATACTTTATACAAGCAAATAGCACCATGTGCAAATCTGCGGAAGCAACAAACCCAGCATGGCAGAATCCTATCCTAAACGGGCTGCACGTCCTTCCAAGGATCAGCCGGATGTTGTGTGAGCAGCGCGGCGGGTAAAAGTGTCTCCTTGGCCTGGGTCACCCGCAGGGCTTCTCGTGCCACAAACCAAATACCCAGAGGCTCCATAGTGGTTCCTTTTTGGGATTACCTTATAGGATTCTATATATGAACCCTAAAAAGGAACTACTATGGAGCCTTAGGGTAATATACTCGCACAGGGCATAAAGAATCCGATGCTGACTTCTGTACTGTAACTCTACAACACCAAGTACTGTTAAAACGTAGCCCAGCATGAGACTAAACGCTTTTTTGGATGCCTGCCTTGCTGTCGGACATCTGCGACGTTGCTGACAGCGGACGAGCGAGGGGCTTGCCCAAGGAGAGGAGAGTGTCCTAAGAGCTTCCGATACTTGGAGGTTCATGGGTAAATAGTTATAAGTGGCAGTATAAGTAGGGCAACTATATTTATAACCCATATTAGGGGACTTAAAACTCCGCTTACAGCTACCCATGAACCTCCAAGTAGCGGTGGAAAGGTAGAACTGCGGTTGCTGACGTACTACCTCTGACTATCGCTGAGTTCTGTGATATCGTAGACTTGGGATTTGAGTTTCAGGTAATGCCATAGGACACTGCACAGAGCTTGGGTATCTATGCTACCTATATTGACGGAGATCATAAGGCAAAGATCACCTTGATCATGTCAGACCTAGTTTAAACGCTCGCGGCGGTGAGTTGGCGTCTACATTGCGGCTTGTGCGGGTTCTGAAATTGCGTCCCACCGTCGGAGCCTAATCTGTATACCCAAACAGAATAGCAATATTCATCAGAAGAAGAACAAGAAAGCAAAAGAAGAGTTGCTTCAAGTATAATCTTATTCATAGTCACCATAATAGTAGCAATAATGCAATAATAGTGTGAAGCATAATCAAATAACAATGGTCATAACAGCCCTCAAATCAGTATACAGCAAGACCCAAACCTGCTTGGACAGCATGCTGCTGCCGAAGGGATAATCCAGCGCCCGACCCACCGCATGCATTCGTAATTATGTCGGCAGCTATAACACACCCACCATAATAGCCCTCCTAGTAACCCTGATAGAACCCTTTTTAACAACTGTTTAAAGGCAGCCTATTCCAGGGAACCATCGATTTAATTTGAACCCCATGCTCACATCGAGACTCCCTGAGCCCCGAACCTTGATGCATCTTTAGGGTTTAGGGTTTAGGGATCCTAGAGACCCTTAGAGGGGGGTAACAGGGGGGAGGGGGGTAGGGGACTATACTTCCTGAAAATAGGCCTTAAAATTTCATTATTATGGGGACTCCTTAACACAGACCGCATTATTTCCTCATGTGCATTCAGGCCCTCTACCCGCCCTCCCCCTACCCCCCCTTAAGGGTCCCTATGACTCGACACTTGTCAGTGCGTGCTACGGTTGATGATATAAATCCTGCATTACCTTAAGGACCGTAAACTATGGGAATTATGGTATAATCCTTATTAATTACGGCTAATGCAGGATTTATATCATCAACCATGTGGCAGACAAGTCACCACCAGCTCTGCCGGACAGCCGAAGACTCTCAAAGTGCTCCTCGGATGACGTGGGAGTTTCCGAAAATAGGGGACCCGAATATGGTACCCTATACCGTTATAAGGACCACCGAATAAGGTACACCGAATTTTCGGAAACTCCCACTTGGATGTGCAAGACCAAAAGCCTGCTGATACCGGCCCTGCACTAACTCCCAAAATAGTCTTGCGACGGTCTTGATGAATTGATCAACAAGATTGTGATTGGGACCATGACTATGAATCGCAATGGATATGTCCGGGACTTCGATATGCTGAAGGCGGTGGCCCTCAAGGTCTGCCATTGTCATGGTGAAGATAAAACCCCTAAACCCTAAACACTTCTAGTAACCCTCATATCCTAGTAACCCTTATAGCAACCCATAGATCATAGTAACTCCCTTTTGTAACCTTTCTATCATAGTAACACTTATAGTAAACCCTATAGTATCTGTGAATAAACATCGCCGAATCTCAGAGGCAGTGACTTCAAGGCCCGCATGCTGGGCAGCGGCCCTGAGATGTCTGCAAGGATGCTTCCCTTCGACCTCCCAGTGCGTCCACAGAGCTTCTTTTTGTTGTTGGAGGGGGCGGTTATGCAAGCAGGTTAAAGTATGTATTGCAGTACAGACTACAGGACATACTGAGGCACATATTTAGGGTCCAGGAGTTTAGTGCTCGATTTGGTAGGTTACTTACGGTCCTGCATATCTTTAAGTCTACATACAAACCCATCATGTCGGCAACAGCGCTTCTAGGGAGGCATTCGCCGAGCTTCGATTGGGCTTAACTCCAGAGAAATACGATCGGATCTGCTCGGGGACGTTGTTTGTCTCGGAGGTTTTTGTGGTTCTGCCTGCTTCATTCCCAGAGTGATGCGGCAGTCTACCAAGCATGTCATGTACGTCGACGTAGAGCGTCATGCTGCGGGCAACGGCACCGGTCCCGAAACCGCTTTGCTGAAAAGCTCTGAGAGCGATTCCGTGACCGAGCATCTTCTACATGTCACCAGACTTTGAAAACACGGACCTGTCTTGATAACCTGGGCTGCACATGTTGATTGTTGATGCTAGTGCGACCGTGGGGCAAGCGGATCTGCAGTGTGTCCGCATGCGTCTCGGTGAGACCCAAATCCTTCAAGCCTGACAGCCTCAGGCTTCATTCACAGAAACTAGCAACTAGCAACCCTGCTGAGCTGAAGCTGTCATACAAGCCCGTCGACATAGAAAGAGAGAGAGAGAGAGACAAAAAAGTTCTGTAAACATGTCTATCTAGGTACACATTTTGTTATGTCCGCACACATACATACATACATACATACATACGTACATACATACATACATACACACACACATAACTACCTACGTACCTACCTAGGTACATACATAGATACGTACAGGCATACATACATATACACACAAATACACATATACATACAAATACATGTGCATGTACATGCACATACACATGTACATATGCATGTACATGCAAATATGCGCAGACACACACATACACAAAATCATAAATGTACATATATGCATACACATACGTAGACATGTACATACATGCCTATGTATATGTATATGTATATGTATATGTATGTGTATATGTATATGTATATGTATATATGTATATCTATATGTATATGTATATGTATATGTATATATGTATATATAAATATATATATATATATATATATATATATATATATATGTATATGTATATGTATATGTATATGTATGCTTATATATGTATAAGTATATATATATATATATATATATACCAGACATTATGTGCATGCAAAATGTATGTGTGCGTAGATATGTATGTATATACATATGCATACATCTATATATATATATATATATATATATGTGTGTGAGTGTGTGTGTGTGTGTTTATTCATGGTTTTGCTTGCTTGCTTGCTTGCTTGTTTGTTTGTGTGATTGATTGTGTGCTTGTTTGTGTTTCTGTCTTGTTTATCGGTATATGGGGTATAACAGATACATGTACATACATAGATATACACATATACATACACATACATGTATATATGTGTGTATGTATGTATGTATATATATATATATATAGGTTCACATACATACATGTTTGTACACAGATGTATGCATGTACATCTGTGTACAGGTACACTTATGTCTCTGCTGGCTTCAGTATGGTTACTGCATACTCACACACACACACACACACACGCACGATAAACAAACCCATACGAACATAGATAATGACTCTGATAATGACATAGAAGTGTTCGAAAGGCCATGGACAAGTTGGAACGCAGTGCGCTCGCAAAACCCTGCTCCCACTCGGGGCGTCCCGACCTCCAAACACCAAATGCGGAGCCGAATCCACGACATTTCGCCCAGACCGTAAACAGGCGCCACACATATCTCAACCGCCGAAACCCAGCACCCTACTTTCTTTTCAAAACCCCCACGCGTCAAAGCCTGACCCCCAAACCTCAGGGCATGCTGGAGGATGATGGCTCCTTGCACAGAGCCTAGGGTTCATCGGTTCGGGTTAAGGGGCGTCCCTCTTCTCTGCAATACCCGAGAGGAACCGAACTTCGATACCCACCCCAAGCCGGTTGCCGAGCGACAGCGCTTGCCTCGGCTGCTTTGCCAAATCTGGGTAAAGGGCGTTTTGCCATCGCAGCTTTTCCAAAGAGCGTTTACTGAGGCCAGTGGAGGCAAGCATCCTTCCCAGAGCAACCAGTAAAACTTTGCCGACGCGCATGATGCCCCTCAAACCCTAGGCCCAAGGTGCTTGAAGTATTTGTGGTCGACGTTGTCATAATCCAGGTGTCTGAAGCGCCTGAGCAAGTGTGCCGTCGCACAGCTCTACTTCGAGAATCCCAATCCCTGATCGCTACAATCCCCAAATCCTAAAACCCACACCAGAACAAAGGCCCATCTTGAAGTAAGCGCGAGAAACTCGACGTGCTTGGCAGGGTCGGGCTGGCTTCGGAACCCGTGGAGAAACTAAACAGATGCCAGGGGTCGGATTCACATCAATTATCATCAACATTGCAATAAGTTGTCTTTCCTAACGCCTGCATAATTGCGGTAGGAACCCTATTCTAACTATGATGGCTATAATGTTACATGAATTACATGTCATGAGTGGCTTCAACCCACGTACCTCCGGAACCGTAATCAGAACCCCCAGAATCTCTTAGAAGTTGAACATCAGCTTTTGGATGCCGCAGCACTACGAGGAGCAGGTTGTCTTTTGAAATCCCGGCTGAATGGTTTAGGGTTCAGGGTTTAGGCCGAAGATTCGCAGCCTTCCAATTGGTGCCTCGCTGAAAGACTGCAACAAACTGTAGAACTAAACGCGACAACACTGGCATGAGACGAGAATACAGGTTCTGTCTGTATTGTTAGTATAGCCCCAAACCAAAGCCCTCTCCCTCTCCCTCTCCCTCTCCCTCTCCCTCTCCCTCTCCCTCTCTCTCTCTCTCTCTCTCTCTCTCTCTCTCTCTCTCTCTCTCTCTGTCTCTCTCTCTCTCTCTCTCTCTCTCTCTCTCTCTCTCTCTCTCTCTCTGCGTCCATCTATCTATCTAACTACCGACCTATCTCCCTGTCTATCGACCTACCTATCTACCTATCAACCTGTCTGTCTGCCGATCTGTCTATCTGTCAGTCCATCTGTCCATCTGTGTATCTGTCTGTCTATCTGTCTATATACCTATCTACCAATGCGTGCATGCTTCTGTATGTGTGTACCTGTGTATGTATTTATGTATGTATCCTATGGACACAAAACGCACTTTTAAAGTTACACCACATGCCTCCAAATGCAAAAAAAACGAAGGACAAAGCTTTACGAGCCAAGCTGCAGCTGCATCGTCTCTGCGTCCGCAACTGCCGACCTGATCTCCAGTAGCTGAGAGAAAGGGAAGAGCTTCGGAAGGTGTACGGCTGCGTATTTGTCCTGTGCGTTTTTGTTCTGTCCAAAGTTTTAAGTTTGGTTTGGAATTTAGGGTTCGGGCAGGGCCTAGGATGCTTTTCTCAGACGACAAATTTTCAAAAGCCGGTGGAGCCACCTGACCAGAAGCCCAAACACTGGCTCCCAAAGCGAAGAAACATTAAACCGACAAATACGAGCTGAAACCTGCTGCTCCTCAGACCCACTCAGACCCCGAACAAAGCCCAGAAAACGAAGAAGCATGTGAACAACATCATTACTGTTGCCGATGTCAAAAGTCAGATGTTTGTCTACCGTAAATGCTGTTTTGTGGTTGCAATATCTGTAAGTCTAACACACCGCTGCATCACTCCCTGCCCTCGTCCGGCTATTAACTGACAGCACTACCAGCACCCTCAACCCTAAACTGAGCAACCACCAAAAGCTCTCAATCCTAAGCCGCACAGCCTCAAACCGAACAACCCAGAGCGCTAAACCCTAAGCCCTAAGCCTTAAACTGAACAAGCCTAGGCATTCCTGAGATTCGTGCACATCGATCATGTCCCCAGGCTCCGTGCCACCAGCTGGGCCGGGAGCCTCGTATGTATGTAGGTATGTATGTATGTATGTCTATATACATATATACACACACACACGTATGTAGATACATAAGTATGTACACACATATATACATACAGAATTTGTTGTGTATTTATTTTTTGTTCATATATATATATATATACATACATATACAGGTGCGCAAGAAACTGAGTGGCTTAACAATTACAATAGGGTTTTGGGGCCCTTGCTACCATAACTATAATCAGCACCCCCCAAAAAGAATATAGGTACATAATTATTTACGCCCCCGCAATGACTCTCTCAAATCGTTTAAGACGACTGGGTGAAGCAGGTGCGGGTTCGGACGATAATGACCTGCACTGGGCTTTGGAGTACCATACTTTAATACTTTTTTCTTACAGGAACCATTATGAACAAATATGCTGTTTTCTCCGTGTTCCTTAAAAGCCCAGTATCTTGTAGATCCCTTATAGGAACCCTTATACATCCCTTTGAAGGAATCCTGACAAGTGGGTCTTGCTTGAACCTGCAGTCAGAGTTTGGGCCGAACCTGAACCCATAAAACCCATCAACCCTACCCTGAAGCCCTAAATCCTTTAAGGGTTCCTTTAAGGGGATCTATAGGGGGTTCTGTAAGGGTACAGGGTTTAGGGCCTACTTGGAGGTTCATGGGTAGTTATAAGTGGGGTTATAGGTAGGGTAACTAGAAGCATAACCCATAATCATTAGGGGCTTATAACTCCATTTAGAAGTACCCATGAACCTCCAAGTACCCTGAAGCCCGAAAACCTAAACTCCTAAACCCTCAAACGTAAACCCGAAACCCCTACCCCCTAAACCCCAACGCAGGAGTCTGGACCTTCGTAGCACCGAACCGCGGTGCTGAAGCCTCGAACGCCGACAGATGGAGGGCGGCTTGCTCCACATCGTCTTGTTCAGGTTCAGACTATGGATGTAGATATAGCTGTGATGGTGATTTCTGTGTTTCGAATGCTCGGTCTCTACTCTTCAAGTGCTGAGGCGACTAATTATATGACAGCAGATCAACGACTTGGTTCTTCAATACCATGATGTTTCCTGTCGTGTAGATTTCCGTGGCCAGCGCCTTACAGCAAGTTTTTGACTTGCGAAGTCGACAGCGTGCGTCCTTTTGGTGCTGTGTGCCCGGTTGCGGTCAGAGAGGCCCCAACTCATATGGATTCTTGGCGATGCGATGGGCACATGCCGAAATGAGTAGCCCCAGCCCGAAAAGAGGTGGAACAATCGTATGATTGAGGGGGCGGTGACGGAATGTGTAATTAGTCCTGACATTTCTACCGTTCATTCAGGCAACAACCATCATTCGCAATTTGGACCTACACGTACATGTACTCGCACCCTAAAGACCTAAACACTGAAACCCTAAACCCCAAACCCCTAAACCCTAAACCCGAAAACCTAAAGCCTTCAACCCGGAAAACCTGAAACCCCAAGTTTGACAAACCTCTCAACTCAAAGATAGAGCCCTACGTAGCCTCCGAAGACAGAAGCTCAGAATCGCCGATGGCCGGAGCCTGTCAGCACATCAGGGAGTGCTGAGGATTCAAAATTTAAGGTTCGGTTCAGGGGTTTAGGGTTTGAGGCTTAGGGTTTTGGAGTTTAGGGGTTTAGGGTTTAGGGTTTAGGGGTTTAGGGGTTTAGGGTGAAGGTCTGAGGGCTGCAGGTTCGGAGTTTGAGGTTCGCGGCTTACACATCACGGACTTCGTAAAGTGTCCATTTTCAGGAGAGCGTCTAGTCTAAACCCTAACAACACCAAGACCGGAGCAAAAACTCCACCTCAAACCTAAACCCTAAACCCTACTCCCTCCCCCCTTCACCCGTCAGGAGGAGCCTCGGACGGCACCGTCGTGCTGATGTCGGTCTCAGATGGAGCCTCTCCAGGTTTGTACTTGGAGGTTCATGGGTAGCTATAAGTGGAGTTATAAGTCCCCTAGTATGGGTTATGATTATAGTTACCCTACTTATAACCACACTTATAACTACCCGTGAACCTCCAAGTAGACGCAGAAAGCTGTACGGAACGTCAATTCGACAAAACCCCCTGCCGCAAGGATGATCTGACAAGCAAGGTTCTGCTCATCATAGCTGTATGTATCTTGATCATAGTCACCAACATCAACACCGACACCACCACCTTGAACCACCACCACGAACCACCACCACCACCACCACCACCACCACCACCACCACCACCACCACCACCACGACCACCACCGCCACCACCACCACCACCCCCACCACCACCCCCACCACCCCCACCACCACCCCCACCACCCCCACCACCCCCACCACCACCCCCACCACCCCCACCACCCCCACCACCCCCACCACCCCCACCACCCCCACCACCCCGCCCCCGCCCCCGCCGTCGCCCCCGCCGTCGCCGTCACTGTCACCGTCACCACCGCCGCCACCGCCACCGCCACCGCCGCCATCGCCGCTACCACCAACAACAACAGCAATGGCAACAGCAACACCAACTGCAATAGCTACAGCAACAACAACAGGCAACGACAACAACAGCATGCTCGTCGTCGTGGCCGTCATGAACAGTAGCAGCGCTTCCGCATGTGATCCCAATGTCACCGTTCTTCATCTGCATGCATCCGTTAATCATCACCCTCTCCACTGCATCAAAGCACTCTTGTCACTGTTGCCTGTGTGACTGCCACATGGTCATCTTCCTCATCACAGAGTTCAACAGCAAAATCTCGCAATCATGGCTTCTAAGCCTTGCTATCCGCTGCATTCTAGATGGCGGGCGGGCCTTGAGCATTGGCACCCGCCCGAGCCCGAACCTGAAAGGAATTACCCAGAGGATCTTGACAATTTGCATGGCATAGCGCTAAGGGGCACATTGCAGTACAGACAAGAGTCCATACTTGTCATAACTTCCTAGTCACGGTCCGGAATACGGCGACATTTGGGGGGGTAGGTAGCAGGTAGCGACGGCACTGAAATCTCGCAGAAATACTGGCGGCTCTACACTCTCCCTATAGGCTTGCAATACGTATGGAATAAAGGTTTACATGTGTTTGATGCGGTGACTGTTCTAACATTGTCCTAACCCTTCATCTGGCAATCGAAGGTAACAGTTGCAACGAGATGCGGCAAACCCTAAACCGTAAATCCTGAACCTTAAGCCCTAAATCCTACATCCTACGACCGAAATCCTAAACCCGAAGCCCTAAACCCTTAATTTTGCCATTCTCCAGGATGGATCTGGTTCTCTTGCTGTGATCCGGCTTGCAGGCTTCGGCCCTTATGCTTTGGGCGTTTGGCGGTTTAGGGGTTAGGGGTTTTGGGCTTTGGGATTTTAGGGGCCAAGGGGTTTGGGGTTTAGAGTTTAGGTTTTGGAGTAGGAGTAGCTGTAGGAGTAAGAGGAGGAGGAGGAGGAGGAGTGGGAATAGGAAGAGGAATGAGGAGAGGGTTAGGGATATGGATAGGGATAGAGATAGGGATGGGGACAGGAGGAGGGGGGTGGCGGAGGAGTGGGGGTAGGAGTATATAGGAGTAGGAGTAGGAGCAGGAATAGGAGTAGGAGTGGGATTGGGAGTCGGAGTAGCAGTAGGAGCAGGAATAGGAATAGGGATAGGGACAAGGATAGGGATAGGGATAGGAGGAGCACGAGGAGAGGTGTAGGAGCATGGGAGTATGGGAGTGTGGGAGGATAGAAGTATGGAAGTACGGGACTATGTTAAAGAGGTAGCAGGAGTCGGAATAGGAGTAGGAGTCACAGTAGCAGGAGCTGCGGTGGTCGTAGTAGCAGAAGTAGCAGTAGCAGCAGCAGTAGCAGCAGCAGCAGCATAATACTGCTACCATGTCGAGGAGTACCTTGAATAGTGGTGTCATCAACACCCTTCACACTGTGGACTGCACTTCTTGTAATTCTGAGGTTCGTGCGAGGAAGATGTGGAAGCCGGGGGGCTCATGTCTCGGCTGAACTGAGGGTTGCGTGCCTGCACAGGCACGTGGTTGCGGATTTTACTGGATTAATCATCAAGTTTTTTGGGCCAGGGTTTCTGGTTCCAAGGCACTTCGGAAATTCTTCACAGCAGAATCCACACTTGGAACAGACATTGTCTCAATCAGCACCTGCAGCCAGAACGGTCCCTCTTTCAAGAGTCAGAACTGGAGCGCTTTACTGTAGGGGCCTAAATAATTACCTAGATTATTTTGGCGGTTCCTCATCATAGTTTATTATAGTACAATGGGCCCCAAAACCCTATTATGAGTAATATTTAAAAACTCCCCTACATTAGCGGGAGCAGCTGCTCCTCACCAGCTACCTGGACATGTTCAGACTTGCTGAAGATGGCTTGAAGCTACATGAAACGACGGCCACCCATGGCTTCTCCCTATTCCCAGAGATTTGAACCCGAAGCTGGAAACTATCAGTCCTGCGTGTCTCATCCGAAACCGTACAAACACTAAGAGCCCTTTGACTTGAAGCCTCAGCACGTCTCGAACTCGGGGACTTTCAACAGTCCAGAACTGCTTCAGACAGGGGACCTGCTAGTGTTGTCAACGCTATCTTATTGGAACCCTGTGGTCACCAGGCAACCCGGATGCGGATACATTCATGGTAATTGCGGGCCCGGCCGTCGGGGACCCTGAACCTTAAACGCTACAACATTAAGTCCAGCTACAAGCCCTAAACAAGAGTGCCCAAGCCCCAGAACCCTAGGCTCTAAATCCCTATGCAAACAAAATGACTACGCCCTCGGGACCTCGAAATCCGCCTCCTTCTCGTCCACCGTCTGCAGCACAGGACGCTGAATAGTTCGGCAAGGAGGCAGCATAGAAATATCTACTGAGTAACTGAGTAGCAGCTGGAAAACCAATCAGTTATGTGTGCCTGTGTACGTAGATGTAGACTTATACGTAAGTACATAAACATGCAAGTATGCACGCCCATATCCGTACTTGTGTATAGAGAGATATTCGGACCCGAATGGCTACCAACAGTAATTATGTCTGCAACATCCCTGCAGTATGTGGGTATTTGCACCACAGAAACGGGATCCAAGCTCTGCAGATGCGCTTCGTGGTAGAAAGACCCTCATGAATGAAGAACGCGAATGAAGGCACGGTCAATACCCTTGTCGGAATTCCAAACAAATTATTGTCCGTTGTTTGCTACTTGTTGTTCGATGCTCGTGGTTGGTTGATGCTTAGTGTGGTTGCAGGCGTTGTGGATGTTGATTCTGACGTTGATGTTGATGTTGATTCAGATGTTGTTGTTGTGGTGGTTGTTGCTGCTGTTGTTGTTGTCGTTGTTGTCAGTTGTCGTTGTTGCCGTTGTTGTCGATGTGGTTGTTGTGGTTGTTGCGGTTGTTGTGGTGGCGGTGCTGTTGCTGTGGTCAGTATGATGAATAATTTTATTGCTGCAAGGATTACTGTTGTCATCATTAGTCTTACTCTTCTTGATATCATTAGTCTTTTCTTCTTGTTGCTACTTTTAATACTCTTATTCTGGTTGGTGTTATGATTATTGCTGCTGTTGCTGTTGCTGCTTCTGTTGCTGCTGCTATTGCTGTTGCTGTTGCAGCTGCCGCTGTTGATGCTGTTGTTGTTGTGCTGGTGAAGCGCTTGTCCTGGTCCTGGTCGTTGCTGCATCGTGTCACGTTATAACGCTAGACTTCTGACCATGCGGGCCACTGATCCTCATGGCCGTGGATTGTGAGGCTCGGGCCATTGTTTAGACACAAGGAAACAAGGATGCTGTTCCCACATTGCCACCCTGTGTCGAGACGGGCATCAAAAGCCTCATGATCGCATGATGCGGCAGCCCTCACCCAGGTCGCGTTCGCCAGTACTTGGGCAGAGGCGCACACATCTGTATCACGTTCTGTTGCTATAGGTACTGTACGACTGGGTCATCGCTGAGATGTGCCTTGAGGATGCGCCGGGCCAGCCAATCCGGATTTGGCCACTTCTGCTCGTCGAGCTTCGAGAAGATCTGCGAGGATTTTTAATAACATTGAGTCGGGTTTCCACGTAAAACTACTGATTACCATCATCGGGATCATCATCAGAAGCATAATCCTCACCGTCATACCTATGATCATCAACAACATGAACATAATCACCATCACCGGTATCATCGCCATCAGCACCATCACTGCCACGACGGCCACGACTCATCGACGTCGTCATCATCATCATCATCATTGCCATAGCCATGGTGCATCATCATCACCACCGCCATCACCATCATCAAGAACCTGTGTTCCTGGCATGTTGCACGGTAAACTGAAGGTTCAGACTCACCGGACTGTCAGGTTGAGAATCCAAACAAGGGAAACGCATGAAATTGACACGCATACATGCTAGGGCATTGTTAGTAGACACCACTTGAACCTCTTGCACCGCAACTGCAAGCTCTACATGCGCTAATTCCGAAATCCCACATCCTACGCCACAGCTCAACCCCAGCGCGGAAAGGCGACAATCCCTAAAGACTGAACCCCCTATATTATAGTACCCTTCTAGATCCCTTATAGTAACCCTTATAGACCCCTTTCTAAGGCCCCCTTCATTCCCTATAGAGACTGAAGCCCCCGATATTATAGTACCCTTATAGATCCCTTATAGTAACCCTTATAGACACCTTTATAAGGCCCCCTTCATTCCCTACTAACCAAACCCAAGAGCAGTGGCCTTTTGCCTCTCTCCGCGATGATGGAGTGAAACCTGGCCAGGTCTTACGGTTGATGATATGGGTAGTTGTCAAAATTGTGGTCCCTTTCTGGGCACCCTAAATATTAGGTGCCGTATTACATTAAGGACCCCAAAATGTACCATAATTTTGACAACCACCCATATAAATCCTACATTACCTTAAGGACCCTAAACTATGGGAATCATGGTATATTCCTTATCATGGGTAATGCAGGATTTATATCATCATCCGTAGTTTGAGAGTAGAAGAGGCAAACCCTGCTTGAAGGCTCATGTCAGGTTATAAAGAAAGTTCTACACAAGGCGCTTTCGTGCTTCTGCATCGGGGGTTCTGCTTGGGAATGGGCTGCGAAGTAGTCTTCACTGGGATGACAGAGTCAGACTACTTACAGAGAAGGTTGTAAGCACCGTGATCCAGGTCAAAAACGAATGCTGCAGCTGTCCTAACCATAAACCCCGCTGTTGCCTACCCAAGAACTTCCAGTAGCTCGACACGATCTCGTATGCGGGCTTCCTTTTGGGGAGGGATGGAGAGAGGGAAAGAGAGAACATGAACACTGAAGATAAACACCAGCACTGCTCCTTGAAATATGATTTCCTTGGGTGTAGAAAAGAAGGCCTGGGCATCCTCTTCGTATAGCCAGAAGTGCATGTATCAACACATTCTGGTATGTGCCTATCTCGTCCTCACTGAAATACCTGTTCTTCTCTCCTAAACCTCAGCTCCACCAATACACATTTGCGAGTGCGCAACTCCTCCGCGAGCACATGCGGGATAGATGCAAGTTCAGGGTCGACCTAGCCTCTGAGCCCTCGAAACCGCTCCACCAGGTGGACTCCATCGTTTATGGTACCCTTGCCCTTGGAAACCAAGGCCTCAAATCCCAACGCGAAAACGTGCCTCGAAGGCACCACAACGTGGGTAGAGTCGCCTTCAGGCGATAATTCGGCGATAGACGCATTTCGACATATACACAGGTCATCTTCACAATTTTGACGGCAATCCCTTGGCCATATCTCAACCTGCTACCCCCTCCCTCTCTCCATCTCCATCTCCATCTCTCTCTTTCTCTCTCTCTGTCTCTCTGTCTGTCTGTCTGTCTCTCTCTCTCTCTCTCTCTTTCTCGCTCGCCAACATAACTCCCCGCTGATGCTGCAAGCTCCGTCGATTATCTGTTCTCACACCATCCGCTGTTTCCCTCAACGAAGGTCAAAGGATCTATACAACTACACAAACCGTGTCTATAACTTTACATGACCCTTCAACCATGCAACATGGGAGTTTCCGAACATAGGGGGCCCCTAATATAGTACTCTAAATGCTAGGATTCTTATTACAAGGACCCCCCAAAAAGGTACCCTAATTTTCGGAAGCTCCCACATGGCCCTTAATCCACAAACCCCTGCTGACTGGCCCCAAGGATCGATCCGACTTTCCAAGGGTCCCGTGCTATTTTGGGGACCTACAAAGGGACCCTAATTCAGAAAACTGACCATATGGATGGTTGTCAAAATTAGGGTCCCTTTCTGGGTCCTTATTGTAATACGGCACCTAATATTTAGGGTACCCAAAAAGGTACCATAATTTTGACAACCACCCATATAAGGCTCCAAGCAGAGCAGACCTGATACAGAGACTTCCTGAACACGAATTCTAAGCCTACTCGCAAAATGCCTCGGGTATGTATCCAACTGCCCGGAAATTCTTGTCCATATCCTGTAGAAATCACATTAAAGAGCCACTTCAGAAACCGCCCAACCTGCTACGAGCCCCAAAAGCCTGGCTTGTTTCAGCTGGTATTATCCGGACTTATTAGCAAGCAGTCCTAAACAAAGAAGATCCTACCCCTAAACCCTGAACACCCTAAACACCCTAAACCCTGAACGCCCTATACCCTGAACACTCTAAAAACACCCTAAAACCACCCTAAAACCACCCTAAAAACACCCTAAACACCCTACATAAACCCTATAAGCATACAGACCTCCGGCCCAGCCGCCTGCGACCTCCGTCTGAGATCCATCCAAGCTTCTCGTGTCTTACCATGGTCTGCGGAGGGCGGTTCTTGGAGGGCTTAGGGTTTAGGGCGTAGGGTTTAGGGCTCAGGTTTTAGGGTTTAGGGTTTGAGGGGTTTAGTGTTTCGGGGTTTACGGCTTAGTAGTTCAGGGGTTCAGTAGGGCTTCAGGGTGAAGGGGCTTAGTAAGTAGGGGTTTACGGTGTAGAATTTTAGTCTTGGAATTTGCAGTGGCTTTCCCGGCTTGAAGATTGAGGGATTCAGGAGATTGGGAGCTGGCTGAGCCTGTAGTATTTAGGAGTTGAGGGTGCCTGGCTCCCAGATTTAGCCCCACAAGTATGGAGGATTTCCAGCAAAATGCCAGGGCATGGACAGAATTTCTGGCTGCAGATTATAGCTTGTCCTGCAGAGCCATCAGGGAGGACCCAGAATGCAACACTGACGGGGAAGGAGCTGTCTCTCTTTCACGTGCAACTGCTGCGAGAAATCGCCTCGCCACCAATTGATGGTGAGAGAGGCGAAAGTCATCGTCAGTAGTGCTCGCAACCCGGCAGGGAAGGTACTATAGGGACCATTAGGGGCGTAGGAAGAGGCGGGGTAGGAGGCCTTGTAATGCCCATCATAAGGACCTAAAAAGGCCTATTTAAGGAACTATCGTCCCCTACCCCCTAGAAGTCCCTAAGAGGGTACTGAGCCATCCCTGGGGCATGAACGAGGCCGGCTATGCTCGGAGGGCGCCGACGTTTCAGCGTAACCTCCAGCTGCAAGCCTCCATGAAAGCCCTAGCAAGCTTCGAAAGAGCCTGTGATGGAAGGCGCCGGCAGTAGAAAAAAAAAAAATATGTGTATAAAAGTACAAGAGACAGCTTATCTCGCCACAAAAAGCTCCTTCATTGTGCATTCTTTGATGCACTCGGCACTGGCTTTCGGCGCCTTTCTGGTGTGAGACATTCTGCATGCACTACTTTTGTTTTCCCAGTGTCACCAGCGAAAAAGAAACTACAATGCACACCCCTGCTGTGTATATCAGAGTTGACAGCATGTCGAGGCCATGTTCCTTGAACATGCTGCATGACAGGTTTCACTGTGGAGTGATTCACTTGACCAACGCTACTCGTGTGGCATGGCGTTGCAAATTGACGTCTCTACCCTTGTTCCCTACTTGTCGGGTATCATGGGGAACTAAAGGTTAACCTTTTTGGTTATATAGGGATTATACAGGGACTATACTACCCAAGAAAGGTTAAAGATTACCTACTCCACTGCTAGGGTTCTCAATCAAAACTGATTAACAGTGGCACAGTTTCGTACCCTAAACCCTAAACCCTAAACCCTAAAAGAATATGGAGCCCTGAAGCCACCATCGGGGCGGCACGATTTCTGCCACCGGCGGCTCAGCATCTTCAGGACCAGACGAGCCTCCCACCTACCTTTTTGGGCTTCGGGATTTCTCAAAACCACCTAAACCCTGTAGATCCCTTATTATAGATCTCTTATAGACCCCTTGAGGGAACCCTAGGTAGATCGCATGTATCATCATCTGAGCCACAACGAGCACAACCCGAGGCCCTATTCCTCACATCCGAATTTCATGCTTGCCAAACCCCCAACCCGCAGAGCTTTCTGGGCTCGTGGAAGATGGTTGTCGCGACTCTTAAAGGGAGCCTGGGGAAGTTACAAAGTTGAGCGGCTGGTCACACCTTACTGCCAAGGCCTGCTTGCTTGCACGACGGGCAGGAGTTTGCTGACAAGTAAAGGCTCGGAACGTAGGATTCTCAAAGCTTGGGATTTAGGATATAGGGTTTCCGTTTTTCGAGCTTGCGACTAGGGTTGAGAGGTTGTCCGAGCTTGCGGTTCGGGGAGTCTTATTTAGGGGTTTAGGGTTTAGGGGTTTAGGGTTTAGGGGCTCTTGGCGCTGCTACGTCGCACCCCACCCTTGCCGCTTCCTTGAACCGAAGCTTTGGACCCGAACCCGAAGACCATTGAACCCTAATGGCCGACTGTAGGTTTCTTAAAAATTAGGATAGGGTTTTGGGGTTCCTCACTATGATTATAGTAAATTATACCCACCCAGACCCTGTTCGAATTAAGGCCCCTATATCAAGCTCGGAGCCGCTAGAAAGGATTCTCCGGCTTCTTCCAACTCTTGGGGGGCTCATCCCTAATCCCTAAGCCCTAGACCGTAAACCCCAATTTAGGGACTCTTGGGGGCTCATCTGGCCCCTGATGGGCCGTGAACTTGGAGGACGCATCCGAGAAGAGCTCAACCTTCCCAGAGACTCCGTGGGTCCCTTTAAAGAGATCTACCTAGGGGTTCCTTCAAGGGATCTGTAAGAGATCTATAAGGGATCTATAGGGTTTAGGTGGTTTTGATATCCGTCAATTAAGGAATATCTAAGGTTCCTTGAAGGGATCCTTTACGGGAGCTATAGGGTTCAGGGTTCTAATATCCCCTAATTGAGGAATATACCTGAAGTTATACAAGGATCCCAAAAATGATCTAAGGTCTATTCCCGAATTAGGGGGATAGTGGACTCTCTGGGCGACAGGCGAACGCGCGGAAGGTACGAGGCTTCTTTATTAAATAAGACATGGGTGGTTGTCAAAATTATGGTCTCTTTTTGGGCGCGCTAAATATTAGGTGCCGTATTGTAAAAAAGGACCCAAAAAGGGACCCTAATTTTGACAACCACCCACATGAATAAGAACGGCCAGTTCTTGCTCCACGACAAACACCAGGGAGGAGACGGAAACGAGAGTTTCCGAAAATAGGGGTACCTTGTTTTGGGGTCCTTATAATAAGGATCCTACTATTTACGGTACTATATCCTCATAATAAGGATCCTACTATTTAGGGTACTATATTAGGGTCCCCTATTTGCGGAAACTCCCATACGAGAATGACTCCACAAAAGACAGAAAGAACCTGAAGAACCATCGCAGCATGCGCCGTCATGACCAAGGCAGCTAGCAACCATCACCATCACCATCAGCCTCGCCAGCACTAGCTTCATCGTCATCGTCGGCACGTTTGCAACCAGGAGAATGCAAAATTTGGGCGTTGGAACCCACCTCCATTGCAAAGGTTGGACATCAGTGTATCAGTGTTATGCAGAGAACGCAGGGCACTCGATTCCTTGACTAGTTGCAGTGGTGTAAGACGTCCTCCATCACCAGTACCTGTCAACATCGTCACCTAAAGCTGCCAACAGCTTGCCTGCGACTGTATAGGGCTTGGGGTTTAGATGGGTTTAGGGTTTAGGCTGTTCGGTTCGGGAGCACTTGTGGCCAAGTGCTTGGAAGTCCCCTTAGCGTTATAGATCCCTTGTAGGAACCCCTATACATCCCTTATAGGAACCCCGATAGATCCCTTTAAAGGAGCCCTAAACCCTTACGGTAAAAGCCAGAAAGTTGGAATATGATTATCCTAAATCCTTTATGGTAAATTATAGGGTATGCTACCGTGAAACCATATTCCAACTTTCTGGAGTTCCCTTTAAAGGAGCCCTAAACCCTTCTCAGAAGGCTGCATGGGCCTCCGGCTCGGCACTGAGGGCAGCCGCCCCTGTGGGAGGAAACCCGCTCCCGGCCTCCGCTGGACCTGAGTCGCTCTTTGCTGCTTGGAGGTTCATGGGTAGTTATAAGGAGGTTCCTTTAAGGGTCCCTTGAAAGGGATCTATAGGGGTTCTATAAGGGTATAGGGCTCAGGGTCTACTTGGAGGTTCATGGCTAGTCATAAGTGGAGTTATAAGTCCCCTAATATAGGTTATACGGGTTATATTTGTAATTAGTTACCCTACTTATAAGCCCACTTATGACTACCCATGAATAGGGTTGCTCTGATAAGTAATAAGTTATGGGTTACTATTGCAATGATTAATGCAAGGGTATTTGTTTCTTAGAGTCACTCTTTACTACGAGGGTTGCGCTCATAAGTAATGTAAGGGGCCTTAATAATTGGAATAGGGTTTCGGGGCCCATCATATTGCAATCATAATACGGAACCACCACAGCATAGGTAATTATTAGGGCCCCATTTTAATAAGGGTTACAAGCACAAAAGTTCATGTAAGGGTAGTTTTTGTTTTAGAGTCGCTCTTTACTATAGCCGTAGCCGAAAAGACCTACCTTTTAAGGAGCTATGTTTAGAAACCCTAACAAGGAACCCTACAAAGGTAGGTCGTTTCGGCGACAGGTAAGGGTTACGCTAATAAGTAGCAGGGGTTTCTGTAAGTATAAAGATCACTGCAGAGGATTAAGGGTCTGGGGTTTAGGGGTTTCGGGTTTGAGGATCTGGTTTGGGGCTTGGGGTTACTTGGAGGGTTTTTTGGGTTTTGGGATCTTGAGTTTAAAGTTCAGGGATTGGGGTTTAGGGTTGGGGGGCTTCACCACAAGAGTTCTGAGGTTTAGCGCCTAGAAGATTCAAGGCATCTGCCACTGCATGCTCCGTGCCCTCAATCGCAGTTCCTTGCACAGCCGCGTCACGGTCGCGGAAATCCACTACTCAGCCGAACCCTAACCCTAAACCCCTAAACCCTAACCCCTAAACCCTAAACCCCTAAACCCTAAACCCTAAACCCCTAAACTCTCAACCATCTCTGACTGCAACGGTGAAATATTTCGGGTGCTCGAAAAATATTTGGGAGTTTCCGAAAATAGGGGGGACCCGAATATGGCACCCTAAATAGTAGGATCCTTATTGTGAGGGCCCCCAAAATAAGGTACCCCTAATTTTCGGAACCTCCCATATTTAAATCTTTAGAATAATCCCACCGCTTCGGGAGATGAGGCATTCGTGGTCCACACCGAGCCTCAACCAGAAAGATCCCGCCCCAGCAAGAAACGCAAATATCTCCAAACGTCACATCTCTAGTACGCAGGCGGGCCCGCAGCCTAGGCACACTGAGCTTCTGCTGAGCTGAATTGCACAGCTATGGGTTCTGAGAATACAAGACTGAATCCCTAAGTATCTGAACCCCATAAAAGCTACCTTCACAGGGCTTCTTGTTATGATTTCCTTATATAAATCCTCAAGAAGGGAATAGGGTATTTGGGGTCACAGTACACCCTAAACTCTAAATCTGAACATTCTGATATGTCTCCTCAGGTTCAGGCTGATGCAGGCCAAGACATTGCGAGCGGGACTTCTGCGTGGACGATTGCCTGAAGTGAAGGCTCGTCGGAATTAGACTCCTTTTCTTTGGTGGATTTACGGTTTAGGAGATCCTCGAGCTCTTCAGGCTAGCCTCTCCACATCCGATTCAGGGTTTAGGAAGTCTGTGGTCTTTTCTATGAAGAGTTTAGATTTAGGGTTTGGGAGGTTTGCGGTCCGATCCAAAACTTTCTATGAAGAGTTTAGACCCTAAACCCGAATCCCTAAACCCTAAACCCTACGGCTGAGGCTTCGCAGTCGTAGGGCTTCAAAGCGCGCATTCGAGTTGGGCAGTTGCGGCTCTGGGTTCGGCAATCTAGGGTTTAGGGGTTTAGGGTCTACCTGTAGCCCAAAAGACCTCCCCTTTCAAGGAACTATATAATTATATTGAAACCGTTATAAGGAACCATGTAATAAAGAACCCTAACAAGAAACTTATATAGAAAATATATATACTAAGGAACCCTAAAGAAGTAGGTCTTTCCGGCTACAGGTAGGGTTTGGGGTTCAAGGCACAACGATCTCCCATGAAGCTTGCAGCGCCATGAACTGAAATCCGCCAAACTTAGACCAGAAAGCAGCATTCATTGGTTTAGGGTTTAGGTTAGAAGCTGCCCCCACCCTGTAATAGTGACTATAAGGATTATATTAGGGCCCTATTATATTCCTATTATACCACTATTACAGGGAGGGGCTGCCATTCTCGGCTTAAGTTACGGAAGATCCAAGACTTTGGAAAACAAACCAAAACGGCACAAACTCCAAATATCCTGTCGAATCCTCATAGCAACCCCTCCAAGAGACCGTCCCCTTACAGGAGCCTTCATGGGAACCCTCCAAAACCCTAAACCCTAAACCCAAACTCCTAAACCCTAAACCCACGTTAAACCCTAAACCCTAACAAAAAAACCCTGAGCCAGCGGCCACTTTTCAAAGTCCGACTCACAGGAGGAGCGGTTGAACTTCTCCGCGGTCCTCTTGTAGCTCACCGCCCCTGGCCGGGGATTGGGGCTGGAGGCTTTAAAGGGCTTTGTGGGGTTGCAGTGGCTTTTGAATGGGGTTGCAAGTTTTACTTGGTATCGTAGATTGTTGTAGATTTTTGAGGGTTTTAATGCATGGGGGGTTCGTTTACAAGAGATGGGACCGAAAGGACCGAAAGCACAACACCTCTCGCACCAAAAAAAGCCCTCAAGACTCAGGAATCGGACTCGGAGTTCCCCTACACTCTGAATCCAAAGTGTCCCTCACTCGTCCTCGTCTAAGAGTCTGAGGCCTCATCCCCATTGGTTTATCGTGAAGCCAGCCCTCCTCCATGCCATGCTCCAGAAGACACTAGATAGGATTAAAAATGTACATTGTTATTCCTTATTGGGTTTAAGTACCCACAAAAATGTAAAATGTTGCCCAACTATGACAAAGATAACATGCCAGCCTTCTACCCTGCAGTAGCCAGGAGAAGGGGGTCTGCCGCGCAGGTTGGCGCTAGAAGGCCTGCGCGGCTTTGGCGGTCTGGGGAGGTTGACCATGCTTGAGGATCCCCAGAAGCTCCAATATCCCTTAATTGAGGAATATACCTTACATGATAGTAGGGCCCCTAATATGATTTAAGGTATATTCCTCATTAAAAAAAGATAGTGGAGTCTCTGAGGATGCTACTAATTCATGTTGGTATGGATGGCGATGATGTCAGCGGTCAGGATGTTGTTTATTTTGGTCAGCATCATCGAAAGCGTCACCAAACAGAGTCATGGTCATCATCATCACCGTCACAATCATCATCATTGTGGTCAACACCAACATCATCGTCATCATCATCATCCTGGTCATCCTACTACTACTACTACTACTACTACTACTACTACTACTACTACTACTACTACTACTACTACTGCTACTACTGCTACGGCTACGGCTACAGCTACAGCTACAGCTACGGCTACTGCCAGTTCTAGTGCTCCTGCTCCTGCTGCTGTTGCTGCTTCTGCTTCTGCTTCTGCTTCTGCTTCTGCTGCTGCTGCTGCTGCTGCTGCTGCTGCTGCGGCAACTGCAGCTACTACCACCACTACTCCTACGACGACGACTACGACTGCTGCCGCTACTCGTTGTGGAGAATCTGCTACTGGGACCTGTCATAGTCGCTGCTTCGACTGCGCCCTGCTATGGACCCAAAAGCTCAGAAGATCTCCAGACTCAACAACCTGAAAACCTTAAACCCTAAACACCTAAACCCTAAACCCTAAGCCACCTGAATCACAGGGAAGACAAAAAATGTGGCGATCGGCTATCTTGGCGGAGTAGTCATATCTTCTTCGGACTCCGGGTTGGCTGGGCAGTTCAGGCCTCTGAGCACCCTCAGAGCCCACACGCCTGCTTCTGCTTCTAAGCTGCGGCGCGGAGGAGCGCGAGGATCTCCTGGCCTGCACCACTGGTTTTTAGCATCCCAAAGGGTCCAAGTCACCATATAGTATATACTTTAGGGTACTAAGTACCTTCTATAATGGTACTTGGACCCTTTGGGCATTAAGCATGTCGGTATTTTGGTGCAAGATGTCCGTCCAGTTTTGCGCCGTGCACTTTACGTGTTAGCTTGTATGTCTCTACGTCTCGGTTTTCGCTTCTGCTCCTCTACCCAGAGGCTCCATAGTAGTTCCTTCTTGGGATTAGGATGGTGAATATGTTCCCCCAAAACGGAACCCACTGTGGAGCCTTGGGGTAATTACTGCCATCAGTTGAATCAGTCGATCTCAGAAGGTGCTGTACATGTTGAACTACCCAGGAAGTCAGGCGTTGTCTTTGATGCTCTTGGTGAATGGGTCTCATGGTTTTCAATCTAATAACCCTAAACCCTAAAGCCTGAAGCCCCCTCAAGCTCCGAAGTCTCGAAGAACGGGGGGGCCCCCGACGCAGGACACTCCGGCTGTCTTTGGCACAAAACCCTCCCTGCGCCCCGGAAACCCTAAGCCCTAATGAGCCCTAAACCCTGGACCCTACAAGACCCGAAGACTGGAAACAAAATCCTCAAACCAGCGCCCTCTGAACCCCCGTAAACTCGCGTGACATGCCAGACTCCCATAATTTCGGTGCAGGGCCTAGAGTTTATTACACTTCGCAGCCATCGAAACCAACCTTGAGAATCGGAAACTGAATCCTGCCTCTGCTTCCCCGTAATTCGTGTACCCAAACCCTAAGCCTTCAAAACGCGGCTCCCGCCGTCTACCTCTGAAATACATCCAAAGCTATGCCTTCAAACCTCAAGCAAAGCCCGAACGACACAGACCCAAACCCTGCAGTACAACTTGCATACTGATCTGTATACAACCAAATTCCGAAATAGAAACCCGAATTGCTCAGCTCGCGATGCTCAAGCGCTGAACATCCGATCTCTGAACCGACCTCGAACACAACATCTTCAGCTGGATAAGTCCTAAACATTCAGAGCTGTAAAGCCGCCGACCTATCTCTGATCGTCTGAACCCAAAGCCGAAGGAAGCCTGAAGAAAAACCTAAGAATGCCTTAGCGCGAATATCAACGCCTACATTACAAACAATGGCTCTTAGGGTTCCTTCATATGAGTAAGTCACAATATTAGATAGTTACCAACAATGTTTCTTACGGTTCCTTTCTATAGGAATACAATAATCTACCCCCAATCCCTGCTAAAATCAACAGGCCACTATACTTGGGGTTCCGAAATATAAGTATACTAAACTAAAATACACCCCGAAACCCTATTCAAATCTGCCCGAAACCGTGAAACCCCTAAACCCATAAACCCATAAACCCCTGAACCCCTACACCCCTAAACCCCTAGACCCTAAACTTTAAACCCCTGAACCCCTACAACCAAACCCCCTAAACCCCTAAACCCTTTAACCATAGAGGTCCCTAAACCCCTTAAACCCCCTAACCCTAACCCCTTAAACCCTTTAACCGTAGAGGCCCCTTCATAACCAACAGTATCGGGCACCGGACCGACTTGAGGCTGGAAATGGAGGAACAAGCAGATGACAGCTGCCTCGGCCCATGAGGAAACGAGCTGGAGTTTTGGGGTGCGAAGGTTTGGGGTTTAGGGTGTGCGGTTCAGGGTTATAGGCTTTAGGGTTTATGGCCTTTGGGATTTAGGGTTGCTTTCTCGCCCTTTTTCCATCAAGGTTTAGGGTTTAGGCTTTAGGGTTCAGGGTTTAGGGCTCTGGGGGCTATGAAGAAACGAGACCGTATTGGGCATTGGAGTCCGGGGGTTGAGAGTTTAGGGCCTTTCTGATTTGAATAGGGTTTGGGGGTGTATTGTAGTATGCATAGACGGGGGAGTCCCAAGAAGCAATTGTTGAAACTATTGGGCTTTAGATTTTAGGGCTTGGCGTTCTTCTACGAAATTATCAAGAAGCTTTTTGCAGTGGTTGCATAATGGTTCAGGGCTTCAGGGTCGAGGGGTGGGCTACGGCGGTTTAGGGCATGATTTTTGCTTAACTCGTTTAGGGCTTCTGGCTCGATGTAATATTGACCCTAGGTCGCTCTTTAGCAGAACACTGGACGTTTCAGAGGGCACCGCGGATTCGGACACCTAGTGCTGGCACATGGGCTAGTCGACGGAAATGTGGATAGCCATAACTATCGGTGTAGAAATGACTATTTTCTGCTACTACTACTATTACAATTACTGTTACTAGTGCTACAACTACTAGTCGTACTGGTACTACTGCTATTGTTGTTGTTAATTACTGATTACTAGTTTACTGCTGCCATTATTCTGATAATGATTCCTGTTACTACTACTACTACTACTACTACTACTACTACTACTACTACTACTACTACTACTACTACTACTACTACTACTACTACTACTACTACTACTACTACTACTATTCCTGCTACTACTACTACTCCTCCTCCTCCTCCTACTACTACTACTGCTGCTACCACTACTTCAGTCACTGCATTCCAAGCTCTCCAACCAAGAACCTTCCGCTCCTTTTTCCCCCAAGATCTCAATCGCTGCTGAAGGGTGAGAAGGGCTGGCTACAGCCGATGCCCACCATGTAGCTCCAGCCGCCCTTTTCCTGGGCTCCAGATTGCCGGGTCGGTTTCCGTCAACATTTGGGGCACAGCTGTTTCTGCTGCGACGCGCGCCAGATTTCGGGCTCGAGTTTCCGGGAAAAGTTTTGGGCTTGCAGGGCCCGGTGCCCAGATTTCGGCTAAGTCGGGATGAAGCATCATAAAGCGGCAAGCCTAAACCCGCCACAGCAGTGTAAAAAATTGAACCAATGCCTTGAACGATTACACCATAAAGCTTGGTATATACGCACATCTAGAGATTCATATGGACACGGATTTATTCATTTACTTATGTGCATATTCATGCGTATCTGTGGTCTTACATTCAGTTAAATGCCTATTCATCCACACACAAGTCATTTTGTCTGCTTCAAGAGCTAGCTTCATCAATACTATTCAATTCCCACTCCTCCTCCTCTTCCGCCTCCTCCTCCGCCGCCTCCCTCTTCTCCCATTATAACCATTGTAGTTACCCACATCTATAATATAGGGGCCTCAATAGCAGGGCTTTGGGGCCACTATACAACATTTATAACAAGGAACCCCCAAAATAGTATAGGAAAATATTGAGGCCCCTATTTTACACCCACATAATACCCCTTATAGTAACCCCAATAGGACCCCTGTAAGGATCCCCTTTTAAAGGCACCCTACTCTAATTGTTAAGGCATCTATGCACCCTCTTCACCCTGGGAATCAAAATCGCCCAAAAGCGTCATATAATATGGTCTTTGGGCCCAAAAGCCTTGATATATGAGTCCTTAAACCCCTAAACCCTAAACCCTACACCCTAAACCCTAAACCCTAAACCCGGCTTTGATATATGAGTCCTTAGATGCATAGGGTTAGGAGCTCCTCTTCTGCAGGCGGAGAGCTCCGGGCCATCTCCAGGCCACGCTTCTCTGCCTGGGCTTTGAATTACTTGGAGGATCATGGGACTTAGCAAGTAGGGTTGAGGGTTCCTTTTTAGGGTACTGTAGGGTTCTATAATAGGGTTCCTTGAAGGGATCTGTAATTAAGGGGTCTATAATGGGAGGATCGTGGGACTTAGTAAGTATGGTTATAGGTACCTTAAGAAGGGTTATGAGTAATTATAAATATAGTTACCTTACATATACCTCTAGTTACTAAGTCCCATGATCCTCTAAGTAACCAGGGAAAGCAACAAGTTTCGGCTTTAGGGTTTAGGAAGTATAGACTTTCACTTCATAATGGTTCCGTTTAAGTCCCTCGACTCCTAAACCCCAAACCCCCAAATCCAATGGTTCCCCTTAAGTAACAGGTCCCATATCAAGTATCAAAGTATGGGCCCCAAAAAAGCACATAAGCAAAAATTAGGATAGGGATATCCCATATAAACCCCCTTATAATGAAGCCCAATATGGTAGGGATATCCCCATATAATGCTTATGCTTATGTGCTTTTTGGGTCCCTAAAAAGTATGGTGCTCCAGAGCCCAGCTGCGCCGTCAAAAAGGGCAGCGGCAGGGGAGTCGGGGACGAGGTGCCCACTTGGCCCTCCTGCTTTTGGAGGATTTGGGGTCTAGACTTTTGGGTTTTTGGGTTTAGGGTTTTGGGGTTGGATTGCTCCTACACTGCACTGAGACCCCCAAATGACAATTGAAATTTTAGCTGTCTCTTAGGGGTTATAGGAACCAACATCTAAAACTTACTACTAAGTACCCCTAAGGATTTAGGAGGATTTGGGATTCAGGCGTTTGGGTTTATGGGCTTAGGGCTCTAAGGTTGGATTATGGGATCTCGTCGGGCGTTTTAGGAAAACTTACCTTTGGTTTGTAGGGAATGGAAGAATGGTAGTACTAGTAGTTATAATCGTACCCCATTCCTGCATTCCCTCCTAACCAAAGGTAAGAAAAGGCTTTTAGGTAGGATTTGGGGCCTGTGGGGACCTGGAGACTTGCAAAAGAACTCAACAGTTTAGGGTTTAGGTTTTTTTTTATTAGGGTTTAGGGTTTAGGCCCTAAACCCTACACTTTAGGGTTTAGGACTCAACATCAACATCCAAGGCACAATCAGAGCCGTGGCAGCAGCCAGCTTTGCTGCATCATCGGTTTTCCTTGACCGCTTCCGGCGCTGCCTGATGGGTCAGGAAGCGGACAGTATAGCAGCGGAAGATACTCAGAATAATAGCCACGGTAGTAGCATTCGTTTGGCTGTGGAGGGTTGGGCTTTAGGGCATTGGAGCTTAGGGTCTACATAAAGTCGCAGGGTCTAGGCGTTCGACTCGGGCTTGCGGTTGTGCATCGTCTTTCGCGTCTGGAGTTTGCGGCGTCTGCCAACACAAGATACTTGCAGGATACCCTCAACGGTACTATCTGGGAGTTTCCAAAAATTAGGTGCCCTCTGGCTCTACGAGCCAGAACGACCTCCTGTAGACTTGGTAAAGAAGCCTGGGATGTTGACGGTTTCACCTCCCTTATCACGACTGCGATAGTGCCAAGACTACGACGACGAGCACGATCACGACCACAGCCGGGAGGACGACGAGAAGGACGAAAGCAATGGCCAACAAACTCGAAAGGTGCATCTTGTGTATATCCGCCAGGCAACTGTTCTCCGAAGATGCTGTACCCTTGTCCTGCCCGAGCCCTTAACCCAAGTGACGGACATGCAAACCTCTAAGCCTCCTCCGCCCATACATTCGAAGTTAAAATCGAGGTCTGGGGTGGGGTATCTGGGAGTCTACAGGACGTGGGAATTGATTTCGGGTTTGCAGCCTTTGGCGCTCCTCCTCCAGCTCCTTAGCGGAAATGCATCAAAGAGCCGCAGCTTCAGTTCTGGGTCTTTTAACAAGAGTCAGGAAGGCTGCATACACTCGGGCACCTGCGAGCGCTCGGGCGCATAACTCCAAAATCCTTGACTACATATGATTAAACGTATTGACTATTGGGAGCATGAAGGGCATACATAATGGCAAGCAGCAGGGATCAACTTTCTCCTGCAAGGGTTTATGATTTGCCAGCCTTCACCGTAGAGTTTAGGACCCGTCAGCAGCTGCAGGATGAGCATCTACAGTCATATGGTTACGTGTAGAGTAGGGGGAATCAGCAGCACCTTGAGCAGGAGCACAGGAAGCATCGACGGGGTTCAGATTGTAAGTGTAAAAGAGCAAGTCAGTACTAGAGCTTCCTCAGAACACTTTCTCGCAAAGCAGATACTATACTTGTTGGCAGGGGTGTGTTCAAGCATTTGTTCATAGAACTTCCAATCTCAAGAGTACGGGAACCCCCTAAACCCCAAACCTTAAATCCCAAAAAAAGCCTAAACCCTAAACCAGAAAACCCTACAAGCCATAAACCCGAAACCCCAAAATCCTATTCCGAGTCTGATGAGTGCGCAGCAGGATGGAAGATCTCGAGCTGCTGCAGACAACAATGGCTTCGGGCTTTGGGGACTTCAGGAGTTTCGAGATCTTCGTGCTCAGAGGACTTGACCTGATACCTAGGATATGGGGGGTACCCGATTTTGGGGTCCTTGTGATCAGGATCCTACAATTTAGGGTACCATACTAGGGTCCCTTGTCTTCGGAAAGTCCCATATCTGGTTTAGTCAGCCAAACTGGAGGACGACCGCCGAAGCTTGGAAACAGCCAGGCTCGCTGCCCGTGAAGGCGAGTCACTGCCATCAGCCTCTTCGCATGTCTGAGCTGCTCCTCCTCCTCCTCCTTGCTGTGGTCCTGATTCAAGCTGCGGCGGAGGTCGATTCGGCTGTCAGGTGCTTTCGGCAAGAATGGTCTTACGTTTGGCAGCTGGGCTTCGTGTTGTGCGCGTCTGCGGGTTTTGTGGTTTGGGAATTGTCCCACGCTCACTTTGGTGGTTGTCAATATTAGGGTCCCTTTTGGGGTCCCTATCTTAATACGGCACCTAATATTTAGGGTACCCAAAAAGGGACCGTAATTTTGACAACCACCCACTTGATATGCACAAAGACCGCAAACTTCAAACCTCCTTAGCTGAAAAGACGCAGAGCCTGGAACTGGACCCTGCAACCGGAGACCCACAAACCCCATGCTGGATCCTAAACCCCAAACCCCTAAACCCCTGAACCCCTAAACCCTAAACCCTAAAACCCTAAACCCTAAAACCCTGAAGCCCTAAAACCAAATGGCCCACACCGAGAAGCCTCCTGCTGCACTTCATGCAGTCCCTGGTCCTGCCGGCTGAATGCTCAAACTGCTCGCGAGAGCAACTTGGAGGCTCATGGGTAGTTATAAGTGGGGTTACAAGTAGGGTAACTACAATTATAACCCATATTAGGGGACTTAGAACTCCACTTACAACTACCCATGAACCTCCAAGAAACCTTGTTTCAGTAGTTGGCACAAGAAGCGAGGCTTCCGCTTCTTGGGCTTTAAGCCCAGGGTTTGGGGTTATTATGCAGCGGCCTTAATAATTTGAGTAGGGTTTAGGGGTTGTATAGGGGCCTTAGTAATTTGAATAGGGTTTGGGGTTATATTACACCATAATTACAATAAGAAGCCCCTCACAATAGTACAGGTAATCACTAGGGCCTCTATATATTAATCGAACGAGCACCACGGAGAATGGACGTTCGGCACTTGCTGGGCACTTTCATTGTCGAGAAGCTTCACTAAGCTACGGCATTCATCCCATCTTGGCTTTACGGCTGCATCCTCGTAGGTTGGCAAACAGAGCTTTACACAAGAAACCTGCAGCATCAGGAACCAGTTATTAGCAGCTAGCACTGCAAGGTGGCGCAAGCGCAGCAACAAACCTGTCTCCAATCAAGACTTCTAGCTGCTAGCTACTGTCAATGACTGTCGCGGAGGTTGGCTTCCGTAGACACAAAGGCACCCAGCGATGCACAATCAGAAACAGTCAGAGAAAGTGAAACAGACAAACAAACAAACACACACACAGAAGCTATCAAGAGGCTCCTCCACTTTCGGGTTGGTAGCACCGCCGGAATCCCAGCTGTCCGTCTTGTGCGACATTGCTTGCATTGGCCAAGGCTGATTGCGCGATCAGAAGTGTCTGTTCGTGAAATTCACCGCTCAGACTCGCTTCTACTTGGAAAGATGATGAAAATGCACGTGCCACAGCATCGACCACGAACCTAGACTTGTCTGCCTCTCTCATGAATGATGAACCATGTGCGATCTGTAACCAATTCGGCATGCCTATCCGCTGGAGCAAAATGCTGCCATCGTCTTCTGCCAACTCGCGGGCCACGGAAGCAGAGAAAAGAGACCCAAAATCGCTTGGGGTCTTGGGCTGGGACCAGTCACGCATGGCAATAGTCCAGTCTTGCCATCACCCAGGCGTCTACACTCCAAGCCCTGTACCCTGAATGCTTGCAGCTCCGGCCCGGAATCCACGGACAAACCCCAGAAACCCCAAACCCCAATCCTAAACCCCAAACCCTGAACCCTAAACCCTCAAGCCTAGCACCCCAGAACCCGTACTATAGATCCTTTGAAGCGAACCCTAAAGTCTCGACCCCAACCTCCAGAGCCGAATCCTGGGACTGAGGCCTGGACTTCCTGGTGGGGCTCCGTGTTGAGCCTTCCTGGCATGTGTGTTTGTGAGAGCTTATGATTATATAGAGGCTTTAAGCTGAGAAAGGCAGTCATAGCTCTCAAGCGGGAAACCAGGCACATGCAGGAAAGACAGCCGGCATCACCGGATGCAAGTCGCCATGAACTGCTTCCCAGAGCCTGCCCAGGTTAGACTTCAAATAAGGATGGTGTATACAAACATTCTACGCCTTGCAGCGCCGCACCGCAATCGCCCAAAGCCTCCAAAGCCAAAGCCCAAGCTCCAAACCCCAGACAACCCCAAACTCAAAACGTCCGGCTGGTGGCCAGAAGTTTGCCGACACCCTAAACCCTAAACCAGGACGCTTCACGCTTGCCATGCCAGCAAGAGCTCTGCCGCCTGCATGAGCATCGGCTGGAGCCTCGCGCAAGAGTCTCATGCTGTTATTACTATATTTACTTATGTCAGTCTTATTCTCATTTCATGCTTTTTCTACTCATCATAGTCAGCACTGTTGTTATTATTGTAGCTACTTTTGTCCGTCTTATTATTTTCATTATGCATTCTTACGGGGTGTGGGTAGTACTGGGTATTCAGCAGCACTCAGGTGTGAGCTCTGTTTTTCAGTTCTTGGCGCAGCTTGGAATTTAAGGGACATCAAACTCATGGTTTGCCTGCCGGTTCGCTCATCGAAGCCGTGGCGACTTCCTCCTTCAGGTGCAGTCAGCTTGGTTTCAGGCTCCAGGGATTTGGGGTTTAGGGGTTTTCGGTATAAAGGGTTTAGGATTTTCGGTTTGGCAATTAGAGTTTTGGGTATCGGGTTGGGTTGAGGTTTTAGTATTTCGGGTTCTCGTTTCAGGCCTCGGCTGCAGTTCGCGACGATGAGGTTTCCGCCGTGTGGCAGGCTTCAGACTCAAAGTCTGCCGTAAGGACAGAGCTCGCTGTGGACAGCCCATGATAGTTATAGTAGATTTTAGTAATAGAGTATATTCTAGTATTTTTTGTAGTGTATGATATAGTATATGATCGTTTAGTCCCCAGCTTTGGGTACAGGTGTTACTACCCAAGACGCTCGAAGCCCATAACGTGGTTGCTCTAGGCAAGCTTGGGTCCTGTATTCATCGACTGGCGCGGCTGGAACCCGACCTTGCCTCTTTGAACCCATGTTCCGAGTCATAGCCTTTCTGTGGAGTACTGCGGTCTCACGGCACAGCAACTCTCAGACTGAAGAGTCCTTTTTGTTTGATGATCTTATTCTCATGAAGGTCTGCATATAGATAAATTCAGCTGCTGCGCTGCAGTGCGACTGTTCCGGCTATGACGACTATAGTATCTCCTCGAAGTATGCGCACGCCTATGACTATGACCACTACTACTTATTGACACTCCGTGTAAGTTTATTGTCGGTTTCAGGAACAACATACGAAGTCTCGCGGATCTTCTTTCACCGACTCGATGAAACCATAGATCCTGAACCCTAAACCCTGAGGACACTCCTGGTCACCGCTGCAGCCTGCTGCAAAAGCTTTTGCCTGCAAGCCGCAGAGTTCATGTTTGACCGTAAACCCTAAACATCCGTAAACCCTGAACCAAAACTTAAACCCTAGGCCAAAGGATAAACCCTAAACCCTCTGAAAGACGACTTGAACCCTAAACCGAACATTAAACCCTAAACCAAAACTAAATGCTAGGCCAACACTTAAACCCAATGCCCCAAACTAACACGTAGTCCCTAAACCCTACAAGATGCGTACAGGAAGGAGGTGGAGTTCAGACTGTCGTCGCGCATGCCCTTCTTCTTCTCGGAGTCTCGCGTAAATCTGTGAAACGGGTCCTGGATCGTTCTGCCCTCGGGTGCTGAACACTCACAGTCCCCAGCGGAGCTGGGGTGTAGAGAGGTTAGGGCTCAGGGTTTGGGGTTGCTACGATTGCACTGTCTCTACATCATAAAAGCCATCCACGGCACCAAATAGCTCAAAACGATCCACACGGGGTTCGGACGAGACCTTGGGTTCCGCCCTCCCAATCCCCGAACAAAACTTCACTGCCTTCGGCAATGGAGATTCACAATACACTACCGTGCCCGGAGAGGAAGCCGGCTTGCCGAAACCTTCTCTCATCCGGCACACGCCAGGAGAGGAGAGATGCAGCGCAGCAAACAGTCGCCGAACTCTGCGCAACTCAGCTAATTATCGCTTGACGACTCCATACTCAGCATCATAGATCCTAAACCCCTACTCCCTACACCCTTAGCCCCAAATCCCAAACACCCGTAATCCCTAAACCCGGAACACTATAAAACCCTATAAGCCCTATAAACCCTATAAGCCCTATAAGCCCCATAAACCCTATAAACCCCGCCCTTTAGCATGAGCCCTTGCCCGCGACATCAGCCGCTGCACGTGAGACTCGAGGGGGCTTGCTCTCACTTCTCCTTGGGTGGAGGATGCAAGGCTTTATATACTATAGGGGCCTCAACAATTAGAATAGGGTTTTGGGGTATATGATGCCCTGGTAAAAAAAGGAACCACAAAAATAGTAGTGGTAGTTATCTAGGCCCCTCTAGTAGTAGAATCCTCGGTTTAAAGGGCCTAGGGTTGTGATGGAACCCTTCGTCTCGATTGCTGCCACCAGTCGTCAAGTCTAGAGCAGGGTCCGTGGGGATTCAGAGTTTCGAGAAACACTCAGCCCTTCTTGAAACCACATATATACGTATGTATATTATGGATGTACAGTAGTAACATATTATATAACCTTGTAAATAAATAAATATATATATATATATATATACACACACACATACATATATACGTGCTAACAGGTAGATACATATACACACTTATGTATACATATACATATATGTATGGGTATAACTCGCGCGCTCAAAAAATGCTCTAATCCCTTCCCTTGCCCGTCAAAGTGCAAGACTTCAAATGGCGGTCCATTACCCAAAGTCCCTGCAAAACCTTGTGGCTTTGCTTCTCCACCACCACCGACGTGGGCTTAGGACACACGTGGGCTTAGGATTTCGATATCAGGGTTTAGAGTGTAGGGATTTGGGGTTTAGGCCAAAGCCCTATAAACCCCAAACTTTAGGGCATTGTCTCAGGGTTTCAAACGGCTTGGTGTTATCAGTATCGTTAGGGCTGTGACCGTGCATTCGAGCTGCTATTGAACAATCTTGTATGTATAAATCAATGAACGAGTTTGCGTGTATGTATGTGTGTATATATATATATATATGGTCATTGCATGTGTTCGTGTTGTGCGCCCAGGTCGTGTCGTCATCTTGAACACTTGTCATCCGTCTCGTCAGTACCCTTCAGGAGCTGAGAGAAAATAGCTTCGAGAAACGCATCATCACACAAACAGCCAAGCGACTTGCAGCATTCGCTTGAGCTTCGTGGAGTCTGCAATCATTCCGGGGTTGCTCCTTCGCTGGATCTTATGGCCGACCGCTGTCTTGTACTGTAATTCTTCTATGCTGCTAAGGCAGTGTAATTTAGCGCATGTTTGAAGGCATGTACATAGGCGTATGTACGCATGTATGTACAGATGGTTAGATGCAGAGAGGTGCATGCCTGCATGTACGTATTCGCATATGTGCCTGTATGATGTCAAACGAACGACCCAACCAGTCTTCTACGTTTTACGGAAGATGCGATACTTTGAGAAGCTTGGCAGACGGAAATGCGCGGAATATTATGCAAGCCTTGCTCCAATTTCGAACTACTTTGCACAATGAAAGAACACGAAGAGCTCCCAATAGCAACAAGACGTCGGCGGCCCAGATCTTGATGTTACGGGTGGTTGTCAAAATTGTGGTCCCTTTTTGGGTACCTAAACATTAGGTGCCGTGTTAAAATAAGGACCCAAAAGGGGACCATAATTTTAAGAACCACCCATGTGATGATCACAAGCTCCGAGGACTCCGAAGGACGGTTCTCGCGAGCAAACTTTTAAGGGGTCAGGGTTTACCTTAACCCTAGAGAACCTACCTTTTTAGGGTTCAACATTATGATTTCTTTATGTAAGTCCTTAAAAATGTAGGTTCTTCGGGGTTACGGTAGGGCTAGACAACCCGAAATCGAATCCTTGACGGTAGGTGGATCCTGCACAAACGTTCCAGCCACAGAACCCTGAGCCTCTGACCGAGAAGGCTTCGTCAAGCTATGGGTTAGTCGAGGTATGTTTGGACATGCAGAGAAGATTTCATGGTTCTGCTGCGGCTGTGGCTCAAGCAATCATGAAAGGGTTTTGAGTTGGGCTTTGGATGCAGGGACTTCTGAGGTCTCCCTGTCCTCATGTCTGGCATCTCTCCTGTGTAGTAGTTCTTGTGCGTCGTCACCTAACGTCATCGCTGCACGGCTGCAGGTCAGGGCGATTCCGAAGATGTCGTAAAGGGCACTGCAGAGAAGTTGGAATATGGATTAATGGTAGGATTCCTTATAATTTACCTTAAAGG